AGTTTTGTCGTGTGGCTTATTAAGTCCGGGCCGTCTGTGGGGGTGCGTGTGTGATACAGGGACAGAACAATCGGTGGCAGAAGGCGGTCTCATAGGTACCCAGCTCCTGAGCCATGGAGCGCTTTAAAGGTGGTAACCAACACCTTGAATCACACCCAGAAGACCATTGGGAGCCAGTGCAGCTCACGCAGGAGAGGCGTTACATGAGCGCAATAATCACCCACGCAGCTGCATTCTGGACCAGTTGCAGCCTCCAAGTGCTCTTCAGGGGGAGCCATGTAGAGAGCATTACAGTAGTCCAGCCGAGAGGTAACAAGGGCATGAGTGACCATGCGCAAGGCGTCCGGGTCCAGAAAGGGATGCAACTGGTGAATCAGGCGAACCTGATAGAAGGGCCCCCTGGCCATGGCCATCATATGCTCTTCTAAAGACAGCCGTGCGTCCAGGAGGATGCCCAGATTGCGAACCTTTCTGTGGAGGCTAAAGATTCACCCCCTATAGACAGCGATGGCGTCAGCTGACTATACGGGACGCCGGGAGCCACAGCCACTTGGTCTTGGAAGGGTTAATTCTGAGCCTATTTCTCTCCATCCAGACCTGTACGGCCTCCAGGCAACAGGACATCACATCAAGAGCATCATTGGTGTGGTCTGGGGTGGAGATGTACAGCTGAGTGTCATCAGCGTACTGATGTACCCTCACCCCAAAACCACGGATGATCTTGCCCAGTGGCTTCACATAAATGTTGAACAGAAGGGGAGAGAGGACCGACCCTTGCGGCACCCCCCAGGCGAGGCACCTCGAGGTCAACCTCTGCCCCCCTGCCAACACAAACTGTGAGCGGTCGGAGAGGAAGGAAGAGAACCACCGCAGCACGGTGCCCCCTATTCCTAACCCCCTCAACCGCTGCAGCATGATACCATGGTTGATAGTATCAAAAGTCGTTGAGAGATCTAAAAGGACCAGGACAGAGGAGCAACCCCTGTCCCGAGCCCTCCAGAGATCATCAACCAATGTGACCAATGCCGTTTCCGTGCTGTACCCCTGCCTGAAGCCCGACTGGTACGAGTCTAGATAGACAGCTTCATCCAGGTACTGGGGGAGCTGTTGTGCCACCACACTCTCAACAACCTTCGCCACAAAACGAAGGTTGGAGACCGGACGATAATTTGCTAATACAGCTGGGTCCAGGGAAGGCTTCTTGAGGAGAGGCTTCATCACCGCCTCTTTCAAGGCGGCAGGAAAGGCACCCCCACTCAAAGAAGCATTTATAATCCTCTGGAGCCAGCCTTGTGTAACCTCCCGAGAGGCCAGTACCAACCAGGAGGGACACGGGTCCAGTAAACATGTGGCAGCACTAAGCCTACCCAGAATCCTGTCCACGTCTTCGGGAGCCACATGGTCAAACTCTTCCTAGATAATATTCTCAAGACCTACCCCCGTCTTCCCCCCCCCCGGACTCATCCAGTCGGAGTCCAAGCCTTCCCGAATCTGAGCAACTTTATCATGCAGGAATTGCGCAAAATCCTCAGCTTGACCCTGCAAGGGATCTTCCCGCGTTCCCTCCCGAAAAAGGGAGCGGGTCACCCTAAACAGAGCAGCTGGGCAATTCTCTGCAGATGTGATAAGAGCAGAAAAATAATTGGATTTTGCCACTTTTATCGCCACTAGGTAGGTCTTGATATAAGATCTCACCTGTATTCGATCAGAATCAGATTGACTAGTCCTCCAAACTGCGTTCTCTTTGTCAATGATGTAAAACTATTTAATACCACCGACAATGCTGCTACCCTTCAAAAAAACCTTGACTTTTATTATAAAATAAAATAATAAAATAAAATAAAATAAAATAAAATAAAATAAAATAAGGACCCACATTGTTGGGGGCAAGATGCTGACTCTGTAAACTATTTAGAGAGGGCTGTAAAGCATTATGAAGTGGAAGTGGCTATTGATCTGAAACTCTGAGAAATATGATCATAAAATCCCAGTCCAGCATAATACTGCTGAAAAAGAAAAATAGGAAATCCAAGAAGAAACCAGCATAGCTGCACAAAAATCTCTCTGACAAATTGAAAGACAAAAAGGACAAATGCAAAAAATGGAAAGAGGGACGCATAACTAAGGCAGAATATCAGCAGATAGCCAGAATCTGCAAAGACGAAGTCAGGAAAGCAAAGGCTCAGATGAACAAAGACTTGCAACAAAAGTCAAGGATAATTAAAAAAAAAAAGTTTTTTCCAACATATAAATAACAAGAAAAAAAACAAGGAGACAGTCAGTCCACTAAAGAGAGAAGACAGCAAAGAAGTAACAGGCAGCAGAGAGAAAGCAGAGCTACTTAACTCATTCTTTGCATCGGTCTTCATGCAAAAAGAAACAATAGTCCAACCTACCAAAAAACATAACTGTAAAAACAGACTAGAAATAAAAGTTAAAATAAGGGGGGAAATGGTAAGAGAATACCTCTCTGATTTTGAGGAGTATAAATCACCAGGACCTGATGGATTACACCTGATGGATTACATCCATTCTAAAGGAGCTGGCAGATGTCATCTCAGAACCACTGTACCACATCTTTTAAAAATCCTGGAGCACTGGGGAACTACCAGTGGACTGGAAAAGAGCTGATATGGTCCCATCTTCAAAAAAGAAAAAAAAAATTCTTAATGATTTCTTTTTTGGCTTCTTTACTATGTTGAATTTCTCCTTTATCGTCTTTCAGTTGGTATATCGTTCTTTTTTTCTGTTCTTTCTTCAGTTTATAGGCTAGCCATCTGCCCGTTTTATTTGCGTGTTCGAAATAGTTTTGTTTCGCCATTTTTATTTTTTGGGCTAGTTCTGTTTGGTTTATCAAATTCAATTTATGCTTAATCATTTTCCATTCTTTTCTTATTGTCTTGTCCTGGGGCTTTTCCTGGAGTTTTTGTTCTATTTGTTTTAGGTCTTTCTCTAATTTCTCTAATTGTTTTTTCTTCTCTTTATTCTTTTTCCTCGTATATGCTATTACTAGGCCCCTTATATATGCTTTTAAAGTATCCCATGTGTTTTGTAAAGAAGTTTCCTCTATTTTATTTATCTGAAAGAATATTTTTACTTCCTTTTCTAACATCAAATTAAATTCTTTTTCTTTATATATTCTTTGGTTCATCGTCCATCTCTTACGTCTTCTTTCCCCTTTCCAGTTTATGAATAGTGGATTGTGGTCTGCCCATTGGTTTGTGCCCATCTCAATTTTTTTTACTTCTATTTTGATATTTGGGGTCATCCATGCCATGTCCAATCTTGACCAGGAATTATGCAGATGGGAGTAAAAGGTGTATTGGGCCTCTTCTTCATGTGTTTCCCTCCATACATCTGCCAAGTTTAATTCTTCAGCCATAGTAAAGAATTCTTTTGGAAGTATTTCTTTTTTCTTTTGTTTTTTTCCCCAGTTTTGTAGTCCTTATTTGCATTTACTATTGCATTATAATCCCCTATTACACAAATATCATCATATTCTAATTCTGCTAATTTTATGTGTAGATCTTTAAAAAAAACCTGTAGTTTTTGGTTAGGTGCATAAATCACTACAATTAACATTTTCCTCTTTCCTCTAATTCTACCATCACCACTCTACCTTGCTCATCGGTATAAACTAATTTAGATTGTGTTTTTTTCTTTTACGTAAATCAATACTCCTTTTTTCCTTTTTTTGGGCCAGAGATGAATATAGTTTTCCTAATTTGGGGTTTTCTAGGATTTTTTGATAGTCTTTTTGAATGTGTACTTCTTGCAGACATATCACATCTGCTTCTAGTTTTCGTAATTTTGTGAAGATTTGATTCCTTTTCTTTGGGGCGTTTAAGCCATTAATATTTACCAAAAAGAGTTTGGTCGGTTCATCCATTGCCTATCGTATCTGTTTTTTTTTTGTGTTTCTTGTTTCCATTCGTGCCTTTGCTTTTGCACCTTCTCTCTCTTCTCTCTCTTTTTCTTGCCTCTGTAATTAATTCTTACTCACAGTATAAATCAATTTACTTACAGTTATTTCATCAGTCAAGGTTTTTAGTTTGATTTTCTTAATTTTCTAATTAGCAATCTTTTCAATTACTCCCTTTTTCAATCAGTCTATCTCAAACATACAGTCAACTCATTTGTTATTTTGTATAAAAGTCAATCTTTCACTTTAACAATAATTCCTTATCTAACCACCGTTCGTAATTTCACAATACAATTTATAGCTATAAAATGTTATTTACTTATATATTTCTTTTAAATGTTAAACTTATTGGCTAATTAAACAGTTCAAAATTAATAATTCACTTCCCTCTTGTCTTAATTTTTATTTCTTTGGTCTTTTGTTATCTTCTTGCTTTACCTCTCTCGTTTAGTTCTTTCACAGTCATAAAAATGCGATCTGTGTCCGTCTCAGTCTTTTTTGCTTGTCCCTGTAATCGGTTCATCTCCATTCAGTTTTCAAATCTTTTTTAAACTTAAGTTCTTATTCTCCAAATTTATTTATAAATCCAAAGTCCGAAATCCAGACAGGTCTTCTGTGTCCGCAAATTTCACCACTTAGTCCGGTATTTCAGCCTCTGTGCTCAGTTTTCCGATATTTTGGGGTTTGAGTCAGTTGTAGTTCCCAGATTCAAACGGCTTGTCTATATCCACAGAGTCTACAAGCTGCTCCCTCTGCTCAGATGTAAAAGTCCGCACTCACACCGCTTCGAGCGCTATTTCTCCTTTTCTTATGTTTGCTTAGTCATTCTATGGGTTCCTTTCTTCCGCGCTGTAATTGTTTCCCCTTTTTTTCTTCTCCTCTTGTACCACCGCTGTTGTAACTCACTTGTCTTCCTCTATTTCGATCGCGCGTCTCCTGTTTACTGCCTCTATTGTAGGTGATCTATCTGGCAGTCACTCAAATTTGCTTCCACTATTTGCTTCAATCTAGGCGGGCGCCATCACTCCTGTCCGTTCTCCACCAATTTAAGAGGTTGATTGCTCGACCTCCCTGATGACAGCACAACACCAGGGGGCTTCGTGAATTCCTCTTTCGTTTCCCGATCCCTCCAAGTTCGGGAATGCCCTTAAAGAGCTATTAATGAGGAAATTTGGGTATCAGAGACGGAGCCTCCATTTCCTCACCCATTCGTGATGACGTCACCGCCGGAAGTCTCAATTAGACACCCAAACTTAACAGAGAAGACAAAAATAATTAGATATAAATATATAATTGTCTATCAAGGCAAATTAAAGACAAAACAACAATTGGAGACAGATTTACACAGAGAAATAGATTGGTGGACTTATACTCAAATACAATTCAAATACAGAGAACATATAAAAACATATGAAATTTATAACCAAAAACAAGAAATAGATAAAATTATATTAGATTCAGAAAATAAATTAATTAGTAGAATTTACAAATTTCTTCTACGCTATAAATTGGAAGAAGAGACAGTCAAAGAAACGATGATTAAGTGGGCTCAAAACATCAAACACACAATACCTTTGGAAAAATGGGAAAAGTTCTGGCAGGTAAATCTAAATTTAACGAAAGCAACGGCGTACAAGGAAAAACCAACTGAAAATGTTTTATAGGTGGCATATGTCTCCAACCAGATTGGCAAAAATACAACCTAAAAATAGCCCGATTTGTTGGAAGTGCAAAAAGACACAAGGGACTTTCTATCATTTATGGTGGACTTGCCCGGTGGCAAAGAAATTTTGGTCTAACATCAAAAAATGGTTGGAACAAATAACAGAAACACAGATTGAAAAAGATCCAGAAACATTTTTATTAGGAATCTTTAACAAATCATACCCTAAAGAAGGGTGGTTGAAACGTGGTAGTTCAAAAGGATACTTTTATTAAGCAGAAGTGATAGCAACCAAGTTAAAGCAAGATCTGAATACCTTTAGGCAAGACAAGTAGGATTAAAGCAGTAGAGACCCCTCCCTTTAGTCAGAATGCAGATTTTAGCCAATACACAAGTGTGAAGATGTTTTCTTTACTAGTTTCCCTGAGAACCCGAACAAACATATATTCACACCGTTATCCTTTAAAGTGAAACAACCCACATGGCTATCATAAACATTCCTCCACGTTAAGAGGATTTCAGGGTTCTTTGGCACCAGGATATAGGTTGTAAAATATCTGTTGACACAGGCAATGCTAGTAAATCGAATTCAAGTCTCCCCCTTCTCCCAATTGATTGGCAGTATCATTTTTAGGGATCTGACAGGGGCTTGCAACTTAAACACTCAAAGAGCCATTTGGACCCATTTTCCACAGAAAACACCGGGAGCCACAAAACCGTTCCCGTGCCTGACTATTTCTTAAGCGGCCACAAAACTAGCATATGTAGTTGAATTAAACGTTCTGTTTTCTTTTGAAACTTTTCTTTCCTTGGATTTATCCATGGTTGGCCTACCGGGGGTTGAAAAGCTAAATAAAATGATGCATCAGTATTAATTACATGAAACCAGAGAAATTATCTAGAATGTATAAAGGTGCTTCAGATATATGTTGGAAATGGGAACAACATGAAGAAACATTTTATTTTATTTGGTGGGCATGCAAAAAAGCTAAAAAATAATTCATATACATAGTTTGATACAGAGGATTTAAAAAATAAATATCTGATTGAAGTCAGAACTTTTCCTTTGTGTCTAATAGATAAATAGAAAAAAGTCATGGAAGATTATTTCAGTATGTGAATACTGAGGTGAGATTGCTGTATTCAGAGGTGGAAAGACTCAATATTACCCACTACGGAGGAATTGTTTGTGAAGTTGACAGATTTTGTTGAAATGGATAAAGTGATTCCTTTGATTAAATACATTGTAGATAATGTAGATTATTGCTAATTGGAAGCATTTTATAAGCTTTATGCGTTAAAATAAAAAAATATGAACTTGTAATTTATTGTTTTTTTTATTAGACAAGATAGATTACAGAAAGACTACTATGATGTAACTTTAGAGAGAGAAGTTAAAATATATTTTACTTATTGCTGTGAAGAATATCAGAAGCTACTTCTTTTATATCAGAAGGATATCCTTCTTAGAAAATTTGCACAGCCTTAGTCTTCAAAACTGAATGAAAGGCTCAGGTTGTGTTCCATGAATCGCAGAGGGTTTTCAAATCAGGCCTTTAAATCACTTGGCTTCAGGTCACTTATGATTTTACATATCAGAAGAAAAAATAAGGGGAAAAACCCAAAGAACCATGTAGTGATTGATGTAGTGATTAAGTTGCTAGCCTAGAAACCAGGGACTGTGAGTTCTAATCCCACCTTATGATGTAAATTGTCTCGGTGACTTTGGGTCAATCACCAGGATACAGTGAGTTCTAGTCCAACTTTAGACACAAAACCTGGCCGGGTGACTTTGGACCAATCAACAGGAGATGGTGAGTTCTCTAGTCCTGCCTTAAGCATGAAACCCAGCTAGTTGGTTTTTGGTCAATTACCAGGAGATTGTGAGTTCTAGTTCCATTTTAGGCATGACAGCTGGCCAGGTGACCTTGGATCAGTCAATCTTTCAGCCAACCCCACCTCATAGGTGAAGAAAAATAGGAGGACGAATAAGTACTAAGTATGTTTGCTACCTTAAGGTAGGATTTTTTTTAAAAAAAATCTGCTTGGCTCAGAACATAAAAGGTCGGGATGGGATACTGAGGCTAATTTATTTCATCCATTATATCCATTCCGCTGCTTCAGCCTTCTGCTTTCTCAGCCTGAGGAAAGGATTACAACAAAACCCAGGCAGATTCCCCCAAACAATTGGCCACATTATGTCTTATTTCCACCTTGCCTTTTTTCTCTCCCAATGCTGGAATTCATTCAGTGCAGCAAGCAGTTTGCTATTTTTTATTTTTGCTCCTGGCCATCTTTGCCTCTTTCATCTCATCTGTCAGAGTAAGGTTTATTTCTTTTCTTGAGAGATAAGTGAGAGGGCATATTGGCATAATACTTTCAGGAACAGAATTTCAGCAAGTTACAGAATTCCAAATGGGTTGGCATCATAAGAACAATAAGATATTAAGACAAGGTAGACCCCCCCCCAAGCATGATTTGTCTGGTGGGGAAATGAAACGGATCTGACTTTAATCATGCAAACCTCGGTCATTCAATGCCCAAAGAATCCAATTCCATTTCTTAATGAACTCTGATGATACGGTTCCTTGTAGCAAAAATCATTCTTCAAATTATAAATAAGCGGAGGGGCGGGGGTGTTCCCCCAAGCCAACATTCTATAAATCTATTAGACTACAGTTCTTTTCTGCTACCATGGCGTTTGGGCATCCTGGCTAGGGATAATAGGAACTGTAGTCCTTCCAGTGCAGGCTGAAATAAAGAGCAAGAGGATAGTCCTTGACTTAAAATCACAATTTCTATTGTTAAGTGAAACATATGTTAAGTGAGTCTTGCCACATTTTATGATCTTTCTTGCCACAGCTATTAAGTGAATCACTGCAGTCATTAAGTTAGCAATACGGTCACATGAATCTGCTTCCCCATTGACTTTGCTTGTTAGAAGGTTGCAAAAGGGAATCACATGATTCTAGATGCTATGACTGCCATAAATATGAGTCACTTGCCAAGTGTCTGAATGACCACAAGGAATCTGCAATAGTCATTAAATGTGAAAATATCTTTCAAACAGATGAAAATAGGAGGGTTTTTAGGTGGTTGGTTTTTTTTTTTTCTCTAATTTGGAACAAACTCTGCCATCCCTTTTCCTCTCCTCAGCCAGAATGACTCACAATGTCTCTACCCAGGTTAAGGTGTCCTTGAGGCAAACTTGCTTTCAACAGGTTTTGTGGACACAGATGTGGCTTTATTTTTGGCCATCTGGTTTTGTTTTGTCCTTGCCTTTTCCAAGAAAGCTTCCCTTGTTCAATTTCCCTTCCTAAAACTTTTTGGAAACCTTCAATCAAAGTGCCAACTAGTTCAACCGTGCTTAGCTATTCCAAAAACAGTTAAAGTTAGCTAAATAAATCTGCAAATCCATAAATAATTTATGGTTAGGTGCATACAGTTTTTTTAGATCACAATAAAGGTTGATGATTCTGCAGGATCCAATCTGAGTCGGTTACTGGGTTTATTCTTCCAAGCCTTTGGGCTTGTGCTGGATAAAAGAATACATTTCTGATCCCAGTGACCGACTCAGATTGGATCCTGCAACATTATCCTGGGACACATATATTTGCCTTCATTCACGATCATTCTCTTCTTCCAGCACACCACCCCCAAATCTTCTCAATGGCTATATTTGTAGGGCTATATTTCCATGGTGGTCTTTACCCAAGTATTAAGCAGTCCTGATCCTGCTTTCTTCTGAAGTACAGTCTGGAACAGCGTTTCTGTTGGCTGGGGAATTCTGGGAATTGAAGTCCACGCATCTTGCCAAATTGTCAAGGTTCAGAAACACTGCTCTGGAATGTGGATATTTTCCCCAACCTTTCACAAAAGATCGGTTTCCTTTCCTTGGCCTTGAAAAATACAGCCCTAACTGTTCTTTTGTGCCAGTCTCCATCCACCACCACCCCCGGCCCCAAAACTGAGCGTCTCTGCGCCCTCCATTCCCTTGGAGGGGCACACTCAAATGGGTTCTGCATAAAAAGGGTAGCCGTTCCAAAGAAATAGGAAACTAGAACCAGTTTCAATCTCTTTCCCATTCCTCCTCCTCCTCTCCTCTTCTCTTGCAAGACGCGAACCTCTCCCGCAAAGGGAGATCTGGGCTAAAGCGATGTGGGTGTGGTTTCCCACTCCCCCCCACCTCCATTCCCAGGCTCCTCCCACTTTCCCCTCCCCAATCTCTCCGTAAATAAAGTTGAAGGATTTGGCTGGGCTCTCAGAGCGCTGCTGTTGCTACCGGGGCGGAGACGCGCTGCTGGCGCGCCTCGGCGGCGTGTGATGCTTCTCCACCCTCGCGGGGAGCTCGCCAGCTTCCGAACGGAGCGCACCCTTTCTCCGCTCCGCTCAGTGCCCGGGGAAACCAGCGAAGCCTTCACGTTCCACGCACCCCGAGAGGAAAATCTGTCCCGGGGCCGAGATTCAGGGGGCCAAGGCAGAGGTGTGTGTATTTGGGAGTGGGGGGGGAGAGACCGCAAGGGGGACGCGCCTCGGAAGCACGCCCAGAAGGAGCCGCGCCCTCCGCCCAGCCCACCGCAAAGCATCCAGCCCAAGTCAGGTAAGCGCCGCACTGGGGCATGAAAATGGACCTTTCTGCGGTCTACGGGCGGAGGCTGTCGGGAGGGTTGTTGCGGGAGCAGGATGGCATGAATGGAAGGAAGGGGTTAGGCAGCTTCGATGCCGCGGGGCTGAAAGGGAAAAGGGGATGGTGCGCGCAAGGACGCGCGTCCCTTCGCCCCGGCAGAGGAATGGTAAGCTAAGCACGTGCGGTGCTCCCTCTCTCCCACCCCCACCCCGAAAATTCATGATCGCGAGTTAATGCCCTGCAGAAAGGGGAACGTTAGGGAGGCAAGAGATGGGGCAGGAAGGAGTTGGGAGGAGACGAGCCCAAACTCCCCCCCCCCTACCCACCCGCGAAACGTGCCCTTTGTCTGAAGGCATCTTTCGGTCTGGCTTTTACCACCGAGCCAAGGAAGCTGGAGCGATTCAGCACCTGGACAGCGCTCGCGTTCCTCCCCATCTCCCCTTCCCCACCGGGATTTTTGCACCGTGGGAGAAATCAACCAGCTTTCCTCTAAATCCCCACCGCCTTCCTTTACTGGGGCAGAAGAGGTTACAGCAGCACTGATATCCAAGGAAAACTAGTTAATATGACACACACAGACACACAAAGCCTCAGCCACGGTGTGCAAACATAGCTCATCCCTGCCCTTTTCTGTCTTCCGGTTTTGATGGGGATGCTAATGCTGCAAGCTAATATCATCATCATCATCATCATCATCATCATCATCATCATCATCATCATCATCTTCACCATCATGCCCAAACTAGGCTAGGCTAAAATGGATTTGGGTAGTTTTTGATTTGGCTCAAGATCAGCCATCCCTTGAACTGAGCCACCGTGTGAATGCCTGTGCACCCTGTCTTAAGCAAAGCATTTGCAAAAGGTTTTAAGAATGAGCAATGGTATCAACCCAGTAGAAGTTAGTAGGTTTAATAGCCAAATCATTGTGTCATCCCTCCTCAAATAGCCCATGTTCTATTCTGGCTGAAAAGCAAGACCAATTTTACATCCAGGTTGCGAGGAGAAGCTCTTTGCTTCACAGGGCAATTGGGAAGGGATGAAGAGAAAGATTCTTAGCTGAATGGTGCAGAGGTAGTAATAGTGATAGTAGTAAGGTATTAATTGGTTAATCTCACAACCATATCAAAGAAAAGCAAAATACAGAGTCCAATTCCTGGGTAAAACAGATAAAATCATGCAGATGTGGTCCATATTCAATCATCAATATTGAAATAAGCACACCACCTTTGCAGGATATCCAGATCTTCTGCTCAATATAATGGGTCCTTAGCTGAACTGCCTCATCTAGAAACTTAGCAGTTCTGCTCGCATTGGAGCCCAGGAGGAAATAGGACAATCAGAGATTCAGTCGGAATGGTGCAATGGGTTTTCTAAACTGAGAGTCCTAACCTCCAGGGAGCAAAGAATATTTGAGAGGCACTTTTGTAGCCACGTATCGCTGGCAGATACTGGTGGCGATTGTGCATTTGATTCAGTGCATTCAGGCTACAATGAAGTGGGCATCTGGGCATAGGTGTACACACATGTGAACAGAATCATAGCTACCTTTCTGTTATCTTCACACTTCTCTTGCACCATTTTATACCCTGCTTTCTATATAAACTTCATGTCAGGAAGAAAAAAGAATTTCCCCATCCCCCAAAGCTTCATCTCCCTTTCTGATCCATTTCCCTGCTCTCTCCAAAAAGGTCAATTAAGATGGGGCTCCATCAGAGCTCCTCCAAAGCAAGAGAACAAAAGCATGTCTAGCCTCTTAAGAAGGGAGAATTCATCAAAGGATTGTATGATTTATTCTATTTCATTAGACTTTCCAGTTCCAAGATTTTGGAACTATTCAAAAATATCTTATATACACATATGCGCGCGCGCGCACACACACACACACGTTTCTACATACATATATCTTTTTAATCTGTTGCAATATCATATTTACTCTGCTTGTGTCCTACGGTAAATAATGTCTGGAAAATACGCACACATTCACTGCTTTTTAAAAAAATAATAAAATTAATTTCAGCATATCTCTCATTAAAGAAAACATTCAGGAGATATTCTTCTCAAAGGGGGTGGGGCATTGTCATATGCTACCTAAATTAAGAAACAATGCAAAGACACACACACACACACACACACACACACACACGAGAATTAATCTGTTTAAGGAAATGAGATCTACAGTAATTTATTACTGACAGAGCAATGCTATCCTGCATATTGTGATGGCCTAACCGTGCAGCTTAATAGTGAAGCATCAAAGATCCACTACATAAACTGAGCAGAGTGAGCCTATGACTTTTGTGTTGTTGATCTATGAATTAAAATAGGCATAAAGGCTGAATGCAATAAATATATAATATGTGTGTGCTGCAGCTGCCTTATCCTCTGACCTTCAGAATAGGAAATTTTGCTTCCTATAAGGATTTCTTCTACATATGTACCAAGGAACCTTTGGACTGGAATATATGCAAGTCAGCAGTTATTTTGGAGGTGGGGTATCACACAATCCTCTTTATTTCAAATTACATTTAATCAGGATAATTGCTCTGAAGGTACTTACACTTTTACAAACAAAACTTGCACTTTTGCCCAATAGAATTTTGGGTTTCTTTACTTCCACTGGTATCCAGGAGACAACAGGCAAGGTCAAGCAGTCTGGGATTTGAGGGGTCCTTGGTGCTCTCTCAGCTTGGTTATTTTCTTGCAGACATTGCATTATCCAAACTAAATAACATCATCAGTGCTAATATCATCATACTAGCACTGATGATGGTATCTAGTTTGGTAATGAAACTTCTGTATGAACACAATCAACCTCAGAGAGCACCAACGACCCCTCATTTCAACCACGAGCTACAAATATTCCTCTTTATCAGTTTGGGATTTGCTTTTCTTACCTCTTATAATATCCCCTGGCCACCTGGATATTGTAATGTTTCAACCTCTTCCTACAATGGATTACTGGACAGCCCGAGATCTTCTATGGAAAGAGTGCAGAAAAGGTTAACAAACATTATTAGGGGGCTGGAGGCTAAAACATATGAAGAACAGTTGCAGGAATTGGATAGTGATAAGGTCTAATGAAAAGAAGGACTAGGGGTGACATGATAGCAGTGTTCCAATATTTGAAGAGCTGCACAAAGAAGAGGGAGGTCAACCTATTTTCCAAAGCACCAGAAGACAAGACAAGAAACAATGAATGGAAACTAATGAAGAAGAGAAGCAATTAAGAACTAGAACTAAGGAGAAATATCCTAACCGTGAAAACCATTAACCAGTGCAATGGCTTGCCTCCAGAAGTTGTAGGTCCATCATTGGAGGTCTTTAAGAAGAGACTGGACAGCCATTTGTCTGGAACGGTATAGGGTCTCCTGTTTGAGCTAGGAGCAGGGGGTTGGACTAGTCATTAGGAGACCTCCAAGGTCCCTTCCAACTCTGATATTCTGTCAGTCCAACCCCTGTGCATCACTGCTCCACAGCTAACCGGATTTGTGTTCACTCCATGAGGCAATGTCAGGAAAAAAAGGGTGGGAGAAAATCTGTATCCCTGTAGCAATTGTACATTTGCAGGTCTGTACCCAATACCCATATTTGCAGTAAGAGGTCCATATACCTGGGCCAGTAAAGCAACTACATAATATCTGTGCAAGAAAATGAAAAGCCAAAACAGAAAGACAGGTCATATTCTGGACTGTCAATCAATATAATAGGGTGACTATGCTTTGACTTACTCTGAAGAAAAGTCCTTAATTTTTTTTATCAACTTTGTAGCCTGATCTCTTACATAAGTAAGAGTATTCATCACTGAGACTGCATAAGTAGCTGATGCTCTCATTTAAAAGCATCCTTATGCAAGACTCAGAAGAAAAAAAACAACTACAAAATAGCTTGTAAGACATTGGACCTATCTTATGTACAATTATCTCTGCCAAGTGATGGAAGTTCTCCATGAGACTTTAATCTGCTTCTTAACTTTGCTTTCCAAGCTTGAAACTGGGAGAGTGGGAGTTCTAGTCCCAGACTGGGTAAAATGCCTTGGGCCAGTCATTTTCTCTCAGCCCTAGGAAGGAGGAAATGACAAACACTTCTGAAAAACCTTAGCAAAACTGCAGGGACTTGTCCAGGCAGTCTCTCAGAATTGCTAATAGGAAGGAAGGAAGGAAGGAAGGAAGGAAGGAAGGAAGGAAGGAAGGGTAGATAAAGGGATGTTGAGAAGGGACATATTAATGTACTGTTAAAACATTTATTTCTTTCATACTTGTGTCTAGTTATATATTTTTTAAAGTTGGCCGTGTGCTTTATACAATTCTATCCCCCAACTGCACATAAGTGCCCATTGCTCCTTCTGTCCTCTTTAGAAACAGAAAGGTTAGATTCATACTCATGCTAAAATACAATGTGGTTTGTCTGCTTTGGGGTTAGTTTTATGGCAGCCTAGGCCTTTTATAAACCATGGTTGGCATGAAATCTGCCAATGGTAGCTTATTCAACATAATTTAAGATAATCTTGGCTTCCCATCTGCCAGTCTGGTCAACGTGGCCAATTCCATAGCAGAAATGTATCTACAGTCTACAACATTCTCCAAAAAGCAGGTAATTTATCCATGTGTTCAAGCAATGACAAAGTTTCCAGAAGGAGAGAGAAAGTGATGCACAGGTAGTTCTCAACTTATGACCACAAATCACCCCAATTATTGAGTTTTGCCCCATTTTACAACCTTCCTTGCCACAGTTGTTAAGGGAACCAGTTGTTAAATTATAACACAGTTGTTAAGTCAATCTGGCATCCCTGTTGACTTTGCTTGTCAGAAGGTCACAAAATATTATCACATGATCCAAGGACACTGCAAACCAACATAAATATGAACTATTTGCCAAGCATCTGAATTTTGATCTTTAGGGATGCTGCAACCGTAATTGTGAAAAATGGTGATGTCAATTTTTTCAATGCCATTGTAACATCGAACAGTCACTAATTGAATGGTTGTAAGTCAAGGACTACCTGTATATAAAAGTTGCATATTAAAAAAGAAGAATCAAGGGTGCTAATATATATTGGCATTACTTTTTACTATTTAATATTAAACTTTCCCCCCCCTACGATGATGTGTAAGTATGGCTATGCAATTCCTTTTGGATGCAATGATCTGTAGCCTTCAAAACTGCACAAGTGGTGATATTTGGAAGCTAAATCAGAAGATGTTCCCAGGCTGCAAGATTTTGTTGCAGTTCCCCTTCTTTTATTCTCAAACTGAAAACCAGATGACCCAAACTCAACCATTTTCACGTTATTCGTGTACTTGGAGGTAAATCAAACCACTATCTATTGCAAGAAAATGTGCTTCTTCCTGAGCTGGCATTAATGTCTAAGTTTTCAGAACATTCTCAGCTTCTTGGAGGAGCTCAAAGGTGTGCTAAATATTTACAACTGGATATCCCAATTTTGTTCTATGGCTGAAGGTAATGCAGTTGAGAGGCGTCATGGAAAAGGGCTTTTAGTATTCCTGCAATTTAGGAACCTGAATACAGTGTTCATTTTCACTAATCCTGCTTGTCTCTGGTCATCATGCCAACATCAGTGCATTAAAGCACAGGAGAGAAGCAGCTTCTGCTATAAAGAAGGGCCAAATAATCTCTTTTCTTGGTCAATATGCCTAGAAAGTTTGGGGACCATATAACTAACTACTGAGGTATCACTAAAATAGAACTTACAGAAAAAACAGCCAACACCGTGGATGCTAAGAGATGTAGATCAGCATTCTGGCTGGCTGAGGAATTCTGGGAGCCGAATTCCAGACATCTTAAAGTTGTTGATATTGAAAAACACTGTACAGATTTCTAAATTCTGGTGCATGGGATTACTGAGTGGTGTGAGAAAGGATGAGTGCCGGGATAATGTGTGGTATGTTGGACTACGAGCAGAAGATCTAGTTCTAGAAGTCCATTTTCAGGCTCTGAATTGAATTAGGTAGGGCAGTCAATTTTTTTAAGCTCATCCTATCTCACTGGAGGAATTAATATTCTTGACTTGAAACCCTGGCTGAGCACACCATACATCTCTAACGCACATCAGGGTGGCACATCATAGTGCCAATGCAACTATGCCAGTATCATATCAACTAGCAGTTGTAATGCATTAAGAACTCATTGTGCTCATTGAGAACTTCGGAAATGGCTTGAAATCTTTTCATACATGTAAATTTTGTTCTCTCTTACTCAATGGAGCTGTTAATATTTCTTTGTGCCAGAACAGCCATCTTGAGATCTGTAATGGAGGGCCTTGTAATGCTCTCTACATGGGGCTCCCCTTGAAGAGCACCCGGAGGCTCCAACTGGTCCAGAATGCGGCCGCGCGGGTAATTATGGGTGTGACACGGCGCACCCATGTAACACCTCTCCTGCGTGAGCTGCACTGGCTCCCGGTGGTCTTCCAGGTGCAATTCAAGGTGCTGATTACCACCTTTAAAGCGCTCCATGGCTTAGGACTTGGGTATGTACAAGATCGCCTTCTGCCACCGGTAGCCTCCCACCGGCCAATATGCTCCCACAGAGGGACTCCTCAGGGTGCCGTCGGCCAAACAATGCTGACTGGCGACACCCAGGGGGAGAGCCTTCTCTGTGGGGGCACCTGCCCTCTGGAATGACCTGCCCCTGGAGGTTCGTATGATCCCTGACCTTCGTACCTTTCGCCGTGCCCTTAAGACCCTTTTGTTCCAACAGGCCGGGCTGCCTTAGAATATGAATTTTAAATTGGGTTGTCAATTTTTAACTTTGTGGGCCAAATTTTATATATTCATTTTAAATTGTTTTTAAATTTTGTGAGTTTATGTGTGTTTTAACATGGCTGTACTCCCTGAGTCCTTTGGGAGAAGGGCGCTATAGAAGTTTAATAAACTAAACTAAACTAAACTAACTAAGTTGGAAGGTCAGAATCCTCTCATATTGCTTTATCTCATTTTGAGTCCTGAGGACAAACTTTAAATGTCCATTAATTCTTTGGGGCAAAGTCAGTCTGTTTGTCCAACATAACATCTGGAAGGGTAATGTTGGCCGATGAGGGCATGTAACCCCTTAGAGAAAGAACTTCTGAAGTCATCTCTAATTTTTTGTATAAAGTTGTTGGGGTCCGATGATGGTTCTGTTGATGTAGACATGGGGCAAAAGATGAATCTTCATCTGTTGCAGGATCCGATTCAGTAGTGGGTTTCAAATCCCAGCGCTACTGGTTCGCTATTGGTAGCGCATGGGCACGTGCGCTTGCTTTCCGAGTACACGGCATTTCTGCACATGCGCAGAACATTTTTGATGACATCTGGGTGGGTGGGCGGAGCCTCCCACTGCCGCTACCAGTTCACCTGAACTGGGGCAAACCAGGAGCAACCCACCACTGATCTGTTTCCAGATTACCTTTACTACTGGTTTGCAATGGGGCCATGCGCACACACTTTGCGTGCGCTCTTCTGCACATGCACAGAAGTGTTCTGATGATGTTGGGGTCGGTGGGTGGAGCCTCCCGCCAGTTTTACTACTGGTTCTATAGAACCAGTGCGAACTGGGGCCAACCCGCCACTGTCCGGTTCCTATGTGAGCGTCATTGCTCTGTTGTTGCTTGTAAGAATCTGTTTCACGTTGGGTGGGTTAGGTTCAGCTTGGCAGTTGTCTGTATGCATCTATGGATTGGCCACCCAGGACTTTAGAGAGAGCAGCGTCATTGGAGCTTATGAATATATCCTTGAGTAATTTGAGCTGCAAACTGTAGACCAGTGTTCTCAACCTTCCTAATGCCGAGACCCTTTACTACAGTTCCTCATGTTGTGGTGACCCCCAACCATAAAATTATTTTTGTTGCTACTTCATAATGTAATTTTTTACTACTGGTTCTGTGGGCGTGGCTTATTTTGTGGGCGTGGCTTGGAGGTCATGTGACTGGGTGGGCATGACTAGCTGGTCATGTGACCGGGTGGCCATGGTTATGTGTATAGGGACTACTCAGAGGGCTGAAAAAAGTCATTTCTGACAGGTCCTCGCACTTATGACCCTCCTCATATTTATGCCCGTGCAGCATTAACAACCATGTCACTCATTTCACAACTGCTTCTCTTCACCATGGTGACAAGATAGGGCAAAAACGTAAAATGAGAGGACAGTCATAAGTTCGAAGACTGGTCAAAAGTGCAAGGACCAGTCAAAAATAACTTTTTCAGCCCTCTGAGTAGTCCATGTGCATAAAAGGATACAGCAATAGAGACGGATGAAGGAAGGGAAGGGAAATTAGCGGAGGAGTGAGGGTAAGAGAGGGAGGAAGAGAGGAGGAAAGGGAGAAAGGAAGAGGTAGGGAGGAGAAGAAGGGGGGAAGAGAAAGTAAGAAGGAAAGAAAAGAGAGAGGTGGTAGGTTTGAGGAGAAAGATTGCTGTACAATAAAAAAGATGAAAGGGAAGAAAGCCAACCCCAAACAAATATAAAGATATTAAGATAAAGAATGTATTGTTAAACTTTAAAGAATAAAAGAGAACAAATATGAATAAATAGCAATAATTAGAAACACACATACAAACATACAATGTATTTTCTTTGAACAGAGTATTTGGCCGGTTCACAAATTTAACCAGTGTTTAGTCATTTCAATTAAATTTACAATTTCTATATTTTCTTTTTGCCATATTTATTCCTCATCTATTTTTTTAAAAAACCAATATTACCCTTCATCCTCATCTCTAATCTTAATCAAATTTAATTTTTCCCTTCTATTCTATATTATACCCCTTCCCATTGTCATCTATTTTTATATCCATCCTCACATTGGTTAATTATGTAATATTACAATTGGTTAATACAAATTCAACATTTTAATATAAATCAATTAGTTATATAACTATCTTTTTGTATATTAATCAATATGAACATGAATATTCCAATTATTTCCATGCAATCCAGTTTCTTACAAATCAATTAACTATATTTACCAATAATAATAAACCAAATAATTTCCCCCATATATTCCTCCAAACCACAACTTAACCATTTCTGCTTTCAACATAATATACAATTAATAGTATCTCAATTATTACAATTCCCTAGTTAAATAGAGCTTTTTTTCTTTTGTGTTTTAAAATCTTTTTTTTATTGAAAGTTTTCAAATACAAATTTTTTCCCACATTTTTCTCCCCCCCTCCTCCCTAACCCCCCCTCACCACCCATCCCCCCCCCCGTGACTTCTTCACAACAAAAACCTAATTCATAACAGATTATATAATATTTTACCATCCCCTTACTCCCTCCTCTAAATACTGACCTTTACTTTTGCACCTGTAGAGGGTGTTGTTGTTTTTGTAGTCTATCTTTTTAACAGGTCCTCTCCAGGAATCAATTTGACTCTATTGATCTGTCTATTGATCTCATTGGGTGAACAGTTTAGTCTCTTGAATGCCTAGCTTAATTCCATCAGTCTGAAAAAGGATTTTTAAAAACATGATTGACAAGGGATTGAAAAACAGTTTCAAATGCAGGGTACTGAAACTATAGAAAACACAGTTTGGAAAGAATTAGAGATAGCAAGTAACCTTTTACATTCAATGTATTTTGACGGAGAACAGAGATATTTTATTTAATAGAATCAAAAATTTGGAAAGCTAAGTGTTGGGTAGTTTTACTAGCAGAATAAAAAATATTTTGTTAATAAATATAGTTTTGTATTATATACACTGATCTTAAACATTGCAGGCTTCTCCCATAGTATTTAAAGTGTATTCTGAGGAATGAATTTGCAGTTATCATGCATTTGAAAATCTTCTCTGACAAGTTGTTGAATCTGAGTAGTAAAATGCTTCTATTGTCAACATAAAGTGCAGTCCAGTGTTTTTTAAACGGGCTGGAAAATTTTGAGGATACTGTACTCATATTTCCATCAAGATTTGGAATTATTTATAGCTCTTTGAAATATGGAATATTTGGACTTATTGAAAAAAGTTAGCTTAAACTAAAATTGTTAGGTTAACAGTGAATAACAAATACATTGCAACTTGGAATAGTGCAAAAAGATACAGAAGGGAAGGAGTTTTAATCGTGTCACCATTATCTTATCATCAGTCTTATCTTTTTAGGCCTCTGTGGAGTTGCTGAAAAAGAAATCTGTGTTTGTTTCAGATTGAATCAGACACATACGAAGGAACAACATCCTAGAACAGTATCTCTCATTCTTAGTAACTTTAAGAAGTGTCAATTTCAACTCCCAGAATTCCCCAGCCAGCTAGGAAATTCTGGGAGTTGAAGTCCAAGGTTTTAATGTTGAGAAGGTTGAGAAACACTATATAATCAACTTCTCAAATTTGGCAACCCACAGATTAGTTGGCACTACAAATTCATTAGCCAAGCTGACTGAAAAATTGTTGACAGCTGTAATCAAAATGTCTCTGAAGGACCCAGCTTGGGGAATACTGCTCTATAGGCTGAGTTTAAGAAAAACGCTGGTATTCACTTTGTTCCTTTTTTACAAAATCCATTGAGTGTTTTCTAGGACATTTCACTAAAGTGGATTAAAAGAAAAAAGGCTTCATTATTAGTGCATCGCAGAAAACCAAGTATTCACATTCTACCTAAAATTCAAAGCTATGAGAAATGATTAAATGAAAAATAATCATATAGGTAATTAATGATAATTAAGCCAAAAATTGAATCAAATATGGTTATCCTTGGCATAAACTATTTAGGCTTGCCTTTGTCCATAATCTCTACTAATCAAAAATGATCAAATTCAAACTATTTGAATTTGGAAACTATTCTTCAAATTTTACCTAAAAGTCAAACCAATGGGAATTAAGTGAAAAATAATCATATAGGTAATTTATGATAATTAAACCTAAAATCAAATCAAATATGTTCATTCTTGGTATAAACTAGGGGTGAAATACTCCCGGTTCGGACCGGCTTGGGCGAGTAGGTAGCAATGGCAGCGGGCAGTTCGGAGAACCAGTAGCAAAAACCCCTACCCCCGCCCCCCATGCCTAGCTGAGCCGTGCAATCATCAGAGCCTTTTTTTCTTTTAAATGGCTCTAATGATCCAAGCTCTGACAACCCCAGCTGAGTTGCCTGCTAATCGGTAGCAAAAATCCCTCCCCCTCCACCCCCTCAGCTTGCTTACCTTAGCTGATGGTCGCAACGCCTTGCTGTAATCCTTGCATCATCAAGCAACTGAATCTCCCTGCCTGCAATCAAGCAGGCTGGGAGTTGTGGACTTCAACTCCCAGAATTCCTCAGCCAGCAAAGCAAAACTGGCTGAGGAATTCTGGGAGTTTAAGTCTACAAGTCTTAAAGTTGCCAAGGTTGGAGACCCCTGTTCTATTGGGTAAGGTTTTTTCCCCTTTGGGAGCTTTAAAAAAATAGTTAATTGGGGTATTTTTAGTTGTCCTTTTTTTAGACCTAGCCATTTAAAGTTTAAATTTAGCTGCTTTTATATAAAAATAAAAATAAATTAAAATAAAATATTTGTGCAGCTTTCTGAGATTTAGTGTGTTTCTGTAGTGTTTCACTCTAACTACACAAACACACAAAATCTCACAAAGCTGTATGTGGAATTTTGTGTGTGTAAAGTGTGAATGTTGTTTTTTTGGGCTTTTTGTGGCTGTGTGAGGTTCCTGCTTGTTGCAGGGGCCATTTTGGGTCTAGCACTGCTGTTTTTACATTGTGGGTGAGCCAGTTGTGTTGTGTTGTGTGTGTGTAAAGGGTGAAAGTTGGTTTTTTGGGCTTTTTGTGGCTGTGTGAGGTTCCTGCTTATTGCAGGGGCCATTTTGGGTCTAGCACAGCTGCTTTTATATTGTGGATGAGCCAGTTGTGTTGTGTTGTGTTTTGTAGGTTAAAAAAGGGCAAAGAAGTGACATTGACTTGGCCATGCCCACCTGACCAACAAGCCACGCCCTCCCAGTAACCTTACCACCAAGCCCCATCCACTAATTAAGCCACACCCACAGAACCAGTAGCAAAAATTTTTAGATTTCACCCCTGGGTATAAACCCTTCGGACTTACCTTTGTACATAATCTCTACTAATGCGATCTCCTCATAAACTTTGTGAGTTCAGTTCAGCCTCTGACACAGGGGTGAAATGCTCCCGGTTCAGACCAGATCGCCCGATCTGGTAGCAATGGTGGCAAGTGGTTCGGAGAACCGGTAGCAAAAATCCCTGGCCCCCCCATGCCCAGCTGAGCCACACAATCATCGGAGGCTTTTTTTTTTATTTTTAAAAGCATTATTTCTACAACTTCTTCAGCTGAAAAAATGCTTTTAAAAGTAAAAAAAAAAGCCTCTGATGATCGCGCGGCTCAGCTGGGATCATCAGAGGTTTTTAAAAGCATTTTTTCTACAACCTCTTCGGCCGAAGAGGTTGTAGAAAAAATGTTTTTAAAATAAAAAAAAGTCTCTGATGAACAGGCAACTCAGCTGGGATTGTCAGAGGCTTTTAAAGCATTTTTTTACAACCTCTTCGAAAAAAATGGTTTTAAAAGTAAAAAAAAGTTGGCCACGCCTACCCAGTCATATACCCCCCCAAGCCACACCCACAGAACCAATAGTAACAAATTTTACATTTTATTTATTTTCATTTACATTTATTTATTTACATTTCACCACTGCTCTGACACCGCACAAAAACTTACTAAATCACACAAAACCTAACATTGCCTTTCTTCCCCACTCCGTTGTTTCTTACTGACTATACACTGTTCATCTTCAGCTTTTCCCACCAATAAAATAATTTTAATTGGAACACCCACTTCTTTAGATGCTCAGTTAATTTAGCAAACCAGATTCTCTTCGTGATTGTTATTATCAACGAACCTTTTATGAAAAGATGCAGCAACTGAATGCAATGGAAGCAGCAGGCAGATTCTGAAGCACCTGAAAATACAGATGGGTATTTTCAGGCACAGAACCTGCAAATGCATCTTGGAATATTTGTCATCCTTCAATTAAAAGGAAGTTAGGTAATCAGGAAAATATTTCCTAAATATCATGGAGAAGTGCCATTTTTACATCAGCCTGCACAGGAAGAGATGGAAACAAAGATGTTGTGGATTTATCTGGTATTTAGAGATGGCATTAAATATCTTCCTATTTAATATTCACTTTCCAACAATCCAACAATGAGAAAGCGAATATTTCCCTCTCTAAATCCTTCCTACAATACACATCTCACTGAACATTCATGTTGTCTTGAGACATTTTTTCTTATCTTTGTCTCTCTTTTTTTTTTGTTCTTGCTGTGTTATTTTCCCTCCTTCTTTTCCTGATTTTGTTTATCTGTATCGACTGACTGAAGTTTATTGTTATAACCACTAGGTGCAACTAATTAAACTAATGCACTAAACATAAAGCTAAAGAAAAGCCCAAAGCACACGAATAAAGTGTACGTACAATTAATCTGATATCCAACAGCTAAGCAAAATTACAAGTGTGATTAAAAAGTGTATAATTATAACCTAGCCAAAAAATTCTTTCAGATCTCTGAAAAGACCATAAAATAAACCTTGCTACTTGATCACCAACATCAAGAAAAACATCTGCCAGTCAAATGTAGAATCTGTTTTTCTTAACCTGAGGCTATCAAAAAGAGAATTTTGATCCTCAGTCCACAATTTAGGTCTTTTAGTTATTCCAGGATTTAAACTTCTCCAGAATTGGTAAGGCACAATAGAAAGGAATATATTGATGGGGTGGGCATCAAAAACTACTTTACGCAATGGGCACCCTATGAGAGCCTTCTTAATTCAAATGTGTATTTTCTTGTGGACTTTATGCACCGGTTGGAGGGGTTGGGAGTGGGGGGCACCGTCTTGCGGTGGTTCTCCTCCTATCTCTCTGACCGGTCGCAGTCGGTGTTGGCAGGGGGGCAGAGGTCGACCTCGAATGCCTCGTTTGTGGGGTGCCGCAAGGGTCGGTCCTCTCGCCCCTTCTGTTCAACATTTATGTGAAGCCGCTGGAAATCATCCGTGGCTTTGGGGTGGAGTTCAATCAGTACGCTGATGATACGCAGTTGTACATCTCCACCCCAGGCCATCCCAACGATGCCCTTGAAGTGATGTCCTGGTGCCTGGAGGCCATGCGGATCTGGATGGGGAATAACAGGCTTCGACTCAACCCTTCCAAGACCGAGTGGCTGTGGCTTCCGGCATCCCAATATAGACAGCTGGTGCCAACACTGGCTATTGGGGGCGAATCATTGGCCCCCATGGAGAGGGCTCGCAACTTGGGCGTCCTCCTGGATACACGGCTGTCTTTGGAAGAGCATATGACGGCCGTGGCCAGGGGGGCTTTTCATCAGGTCCGCCTGATTCGCCAGTTGCGGCCCTTTCTGGATCGGGACTCCTTACGCACAGTCACTCAGGCACTCATCACTTCCTGCCTGGACTACTGCAATGCTCTCTACATGGGGCTCCCCTTGAGGAGCACCCGGAGGCCCAACTGGTGCAGAATGCGGCCGCGCGGGGGATTATGGGAGCAAGAGGGCGCTCCCATGTGATGCCTCTCCTGCACGAGCTGCATTGGCTTCCAGTGGTCTTCTGGGTGTGCTTCAAGGTGTTGGTCACCACCTTTAAAGTGCGCCATGGCATCGGACCTGGGTATTTGTGAGACCGCCTTCTGCCGCTGATTGCCTCCCACCAACCAGTACGTTCCCACAGAGAGGGACTCCTCAGGGTGCCATCGGCCAGGCAGTGTCGGCTGGCGACCCCCAGGGGGAGGGCCTTCTCTGTGGCAGCACCTGCCCTCTGGAACGATTTGCCCCCAGAGATACGAAGGATACCAGATCTACGGGCCTTTCGCCGTGCCCTAAAAACTTTTCTTTTCCATCAAGCAGGGCTGGCGTGAACCCCCCCCCCTTTAGCTCTTTTTAGCTTTTTAAGTGTAAATTGGGTTTTAATTGGATTGTTTTAAATTGTGGGCCAAAGCTGTATAATTCTTTTAATTGATTTTAAATTTTGTATTGGTATGTTTTTATCCTTGGCTGTGCACTGCCCTGAGTCCAATAGGAGAAGGGCGGTATATAAATTGAATGAATAAATAAATAAATAATAATAATAATAATAATAATAATAATAATAATAATAATAATAATAATAATAATAATAATGGTGTCCAACCTTGTCAACTTTAGGACTTGTTGACTTCAACTCGCAGAATCCCCCAATCAGCCATACAACTCCTCCACCATTCCCAAAGTGGCTTTTTAGCATTGGATCTTCATTGCTAAACACTCCTACCAACTAGAAATGCCAATTACAAAATAGTATCTGGGAGGCTGGCAAATTTTCTGGTAGATTAGCAACATTAAGTGGGCTCCATCAGAGGTGGAGGGCAATCTGGTCTCTATTTTTCAATGTGGACAGAAATACAGACAACTCAAAGCAATTGGGTTTGTGCGCACCTCGTGACACCATCCCATAAGATGCATTAAATTTCCTTCCTAGCTTTTCGTAACTTTTGGTGTTTAATGGTTTTTTTTATGTTTAAGTGTTCTATTTTGCTGCTATTCTATATTACTGCTTTTAATGTTTTAAGCCACCCAGTTGCTCAACAGTGAGGTGAGCAGCATATAAACTTGATAAATAAATGAATAAATTGGGACATTCTACCAAAGGCTCCAAGACTGTTTAAGTAGACCAATGACTAGTAAAACTGGTGAGGACAGAGGAAAACAGAAAAAGGCCAGTCTCTTTTGAGGTCAAATTCTATGTCTTGGAGTATTTCAAGGAATGCCTCCATCCATACCTGCAGCCTGGCCTCTAGATTTCTTTTCCAAGATCTCCTCAAACAAGGAGCCTGTTCTGATTAGGTGGTTCTGTTTGAGGAACACATAAGATCTTACATAAAACATAAAAATCATAGGGCTGGAAGCAACCATGGAGGTCTTCTATCCAATGCACTGCACAGTGATCAAGATAGGAATCCTTATAACATCCTGGTCAAATGGTTGTCCAGTCTTTTTTTTTTTTTTTTGAAAACCTCCAGTGATGGAGCACCCACAACCCGAGGAAGTAAGCTATTCCATTGATTAATTGTTCTCACTCTCAGGAAATTTCTCCTTAATTCCAGGTTGGATCTCTCTCTCTTTGATAAGCTTCCATCCATTACTTCTTGCCTTTCCCTCAGGTGAAGAATAGGTTGATCCCATTTTCGTGACAGCCCCTCAAGTACTGGAAGACAGCTATTATGTCCGCCCTCCATCCATCTCTTCATTAGGCTAGATCTACCTAGTTCCCTCAACCATTCATTCTTTGATTTAGCCTCCAGATTCCTAGTCATCTTTGCTACTCACTTTCACACTGATTCTCCCCAGCTCTAGGTTACTCTGTGGTGCCGTGGTGGCACAATGGTAGGAGCCATGGTGGTGCAATGGTTTGAATGCAGTATTGCAGGCTAATTCAGCTCACTGCCAGGAGTTCAATCCTGACTGGCTCAAGGTTGACTCAGCCTTCCATCCTTCCAAGGTGGGTAAAATGAGGACACAGATTGTTGGGGGCAATATGTTGACTCTGTAAACTGCTTAGGAAGGGCTATAAAGCACTATATATGTCTAAGTGCTGTTGCTATTGAAATTGCTATTCCCCTTCTTCCAAGCATTTTCCAAATCTGATGTTTTATATTTTTTATATTTGCCTGTTCTATTTATTTATTTTTTAAATGATGAAAAGGGGGGAGAAAATATTAAATCACATTGTTTTTTTTTCCTTTTCCTGTTTTGATGTTCTTCCCTTCTCCCTCAACTTAATCCTAAAAATTAGCAGCTTTGTAACACATCTGGGGGTTATTGTATGGATTACAGAAACAGGCATATAGGCGAATGGGAAATTAATTCGCAAGAATAAACATGGAGATTTTGACAAATGGAAGGCAGAAAAAGGTAAGTCTTTTTTTTAAAGAAATGGAAAGAGCATTTTGATGGAAAGAAATAGCACACGCAACACAGACCTCAAAGGCACAGCTACCAGATAAACCTTGAGAATGAAGCAACACCTTTGATACTGTATCTGGTGTAATGAGTACAAAGGATTAAGTATTGCAAATCCTTCTAATTAGTTGTTTTAACAGCTTCATAAAGCTGCAAAGCAATTATGGAGCTTTGGAAGTAAAATAAAAAATCAGGCGATTTTGTGTCACCTTCACACAAGGCTTTTGCACGTCAAAACAATTCTGCCAGCAGGTCCATGATTTGCAACCTTTTTCACACCAAGAGTCACAACTGGGTTAAAATTAAATCTAAAGCTACTTTCAACATAATTCTAGTTAACAGTACATTAATTAATGTTAATATGATTACCAATGTTTCTAATAGTTTCCCTCCCTTCCCTCGCATTAAAAATTAAAATTAAGCAACACTGTTTGCAGAGGCTTGTGGTTCTACAAAGGGAGACAACGTACAGCAATTGGAGCTTCTGGTTTCCTGATTCATTGACTACACTAAAGGGATAAACAAACGTGAATTTGGTTTAAGACAAAAGAAAAGTTCCCAATTATTTTTGGCTATTATACTTGTTTGGAAGAGTCCTAAGCAGCACCTACTTTCTCCTGTAAAAGGGGCCTCACAATTTGTTGAACCAAGCCATAATGGTATACTAAGCTTTATTAGGTCAGTTCAAACATCATGCTCAGTTAAAACCTAGCATAGCACTGTTGTGTGATGTCTTTTATTAGTCACCCATGCCTACAAGTTTGAACTGTAAGAGGATCTCCTTGGAAATAATAATCCTTGGGACAACACAACAATATCAATAAAAGGGAATATTTGTAGCTCAGAGTTGAAACAAGATACAGATACAGATACAGAGTAACATCAGTGCTAGTTAACTAGTTAACCCTAACGCTGATAATGTTACCTAGTTTGGTAATATAACATCTGCAAGAAAACAACCAAGCTCAGAGAGCACCAAGGACCCCTCAAATATAACAGCAGCAGGAAAAGAAAGTCAGTGAGTAGGTATTAAATAAATATCTCCCTTTTATTTCCCTCTTTTTTATTTTCTTTTTTTCCTTCCTTCCATATTTCTGAATCACCCATTTCCCCTCAAAGAAATACATAGATTTAATTGATGCAGAGCTTCTGCAAGCTGTTCCTTGTTTTTGACATCTAAATCTTTGTGCTTCGAAGCCAATCCCAGCCCAGCCAATTGAAAGTTTCCCCTAGCAAGTAATTTTAAGGAATGACATATTCATTTCAGGGACTGAAGTTTATATTCAGAAGAAACCTTCCAATCTCTTTCTAACTGAATGTGTAGCCCAAGTACATGCTAAGTTGGGCAGAATAAGCAAGTGCCTTGCTCTGTATCATAGATTGACCTGTTTGCTATTCTTGTTGTTTTATGCAGATCACTTTTCCAGAGTCAGAAACTACCTGGATAATCCCAAGTCTCCACACTGAGAGACTCGGGATGAAAAAGTGGTTACCGTTTAGAAGATAAAATCAAAAGCAAGTGAATACAACACGCACCGGCTAAACTAGGAATGAAAACAACATTATTGGATTTCATTGCATCAACCATTTTTGGATGGACCAGTTTCTGCCCCTCATTGCAATAGCTTCTGGAATGAGGGTTGATTACCAAACTCAGAGTGAAACAAACTCATAAGGAATCTATTATTGTCGTGATGGCTCTCTTAGTTCAGTGGGTGATCCCTTCCTATCATGACATTTGTCAATTGCCCTGATTAACCACACAAGGAAAGACAGAGAACTGAAAAATAAAGTGGTCATCAGTCTTCCGTTGATGTTCAGAGCAGAGCTTGGAAAGATATGTCTTTCACTGCTGGCTGTTAAACGTCTCTTAGGGACCATGTAACTTCATGGACACAACTAGAAGCAAGCTGTGTTCTCTTCACCTTTCCTCTGAAAACACCTCTGCTTAAAACGTTAGCCATCCTAAACATTCCAATGAGGCCCAAGTTTAGAGACACTTCGGTTCCCACTTTTCTAACAGCCAAGGTGCGTGAGACCTTATTGAATGCTACGCAAGAAGCTGAAACCCAAAAGACAGAGGAATCCCTTTCATCAGCCGTGGCATTGCTTGTGGTGCTGATCCTCCTCTTCTGCCTGGTGTCTTTGTCCCTGGCGACCTCCTGCTTTCATAAATGGAAGCTGAGGAGCAAAAGATTACAGAAAGCTCATGAAGAGTATCAGAAGGATTATGAAAATAGCGGGCACCGAATCACGTCAAGACTTGTTTAACAAGAGGGAACAAAACTCAAAGCAAAGACATCAACCTAACTATTATATTTCTGCATTAATATGAAAGATAGAAGATAACTTTGAACATTATTGATTAAATGATATAGCATATTGCTTTCCTAATATGGACCTGTCAATTAATTGAGATTTTTCCTACCTTTTCATTCTCTATTTAAGATCATACCATGATTGGACTGTAAAGCTACCTTTACTAGCACAATCTCCAGGAAGCAATATTCAAACATATAAAAGCATCACTCCATTGTTTGTGTAGGGCTACTCTGGAAAAGCCAGCTTGAAAGTAACCTCTTTTCTTTTATCCAGATTTTCCACTGGTATCAGAGAGCTTAAATTTGAGCTGCTGAAAAAAGGGCAGCACAACTGTGAAATCCATATAAATCCTCTGATGTAACAACTTCAAAGAAAATCCTAATTTTTCAAAACAGTAGAAGACAGCCTGATCAAAGGCAGTGGGATTTCCATCCCATCAAATACCTACCACAAATGCTTTCTCGTGCAAGTTGCAGGTCAATTGATTGGAAATTAACTTTTAAAACAATAGGAACAACTTTATTCATAGGTGCCAGTTACAGATTTCACTGCAGATGGTAAAATAAAGATGAGGTAAAATATCTCTCTTGGGGAAATACTACAGGGTGAAAAATAGTTATTATTCTATCATTTGGGGGTGGGTGGGAATGTGCCTCTACATAATAAGAGAATGAAATTTGTACTCTAATATAAAAACCTTTCTTGTTTTGCTTTGTTTCCCTACATTTGTAATAATTATAGAAAAAGAGTCAGAGAACCCAACCTGTGGTAGAAATCTAGTATAAAGCCCATGATTATAATAATGGCACCTGAGCTGAGCAGAAAAGGAGCCTCAAGAGGAGCATTAATAAACTTCTTTTTGACATCCTATGGCTGAATACAAAGAAAAAGGCAACAATACTCACAAATACAAAGGGATTTGCTGCCAATATATTTATAGATATGGTACACACAGAAAACCATTTTTGAAACAGAAATACAAAGGCAATTATTAAGGGTCCACCTGAATCGACCATCCAAAGGTAAGAAAAACCATCAAAAAGATATGGAGATAGAGAGACAGACAGACAGAGAGAGAGAAATCAGAGAGAGACAGAGAGAAACAGAGAAACATCACCTTTGGCTATTCTGGTATAGCAAAGGAATCAGTATGGCAGGTAAAGACCACATCTGATGGATGGATACCCCATTGAGCCCATTAATTAGTTAGATGATGACATGTAAAACCTTTTTAAAATGGTGCCCTCAGTTAAGCAGGGCTGATTTTTTTAAAAAAACAACACTATTTTTAATATGAAAACTTAAAAAGAATATGCAAGGGAGACATGACCTTGACAAGAGCAATGGCCTTGCATTCATGGCAGCGAATGGGGCCAGTGCTCTTATTTACATGCAAATATAATCAACTGAAGCCCTTATGATTAACCAATTATTTTTTTTATATTCTTCTTTAATTGCCTAACCACGTTTACAATTCCTTTTAACTGAGCTTATTTATAATAGCATGTTTTTATTTTCATGGTTTACTGACTTCATACTAAGGACAATAATTTGATAGGTAGCTTATTAAAAGTAATCCTTTTTAACCAGAATGTGAGATATATCATGAAAATGACTATCTGTTTTTGCTATGTTTTTAAGTAGGTAGCATGCATATACAGTATAAACCTGCAACCATCCTACTAAAGTATATAGCTTGCTTGCAATTACCATTTGTCAATGTAATGCACATTTTTCAATAAGTTGTGACACTGGGGAAGACTATACACCTTTTCTTCCAGAGAGGGGAGGAAATTTCCAGTTGGGGGGGGGAGTGGGGAGAAAGTGAAAAAACTGCTGAAGGGATTAAAAGAGCTCACTGAGAGCAGAGCATGTTTCTTAAGAATGCCACAAAGGGGAAATCATGGAAGAGCCTTAAGAGCCTGTTTGATTGCTACAGAGAGGTTTTGAAAAATGTATTTATGGGTCATCCGGATGATTCTATGCAGGAACAAAACAATATAACTTTGTTATTTAATAAATCAAAGAAGCGGTGAACTTTAATGCCTTTTTTGCAAGAGATCTTTCTGAGTTGTTTAGTGAGTCTCTTTGGTGGACCTAGAGTATGACCGTCTCTCTGGAAATGCATGAGACAAAGGGTTCCCAGGCTCTTGCCCTCCAGAATATACCCACTGTTCTTTGTTTAACCTTCTCCCAAAAGACCAAGAAGGACCGTAAGTGGAAGAGTAGGCAGCTATTCTTGGAAGGAACATATTATTGAGAGCTTTCAGTAAAGCATGGAATTTCCCAGGAAATTCACAGAAATTACAAGTAGTCCGGGATTTACAACAGTTCATTTAGTGACCATTCAAAGTCACAATGGCATTAAAAAAAGTGACTTATGACAATTTTTCACGTTTACAACCATGGCAGTATCCCCATGATCACATGATCAAAATTCAGACACTTGGCAACTGACTCATTTATGCGGTTGCAGTGTCCCAGTGTCATATGATCCTGTTTTGTGACCTCCTGACAAGCAATGTCAATGGGGAAGCCAGATTTGCTTATCAACCATGTAACTAACTTAACTGCAGTGATTCACTTAACAGCTATGGCAAGAAAGATCCTAAAATGGGGCAAAATGCATTTAACAACTGTCTTACGTAGCAACTTTAAACTTTGGGCTCAATTGTGGGTGTAAGTCAAGGACTACCTACAGTATATCATGCTGAAAGAAAGAAGGTTTCAACTGGGTATTACAGGGACAACCAACCTAACACTAAGTACAGTAAGCAGTGGTTGCTTATATGAACTTCTCTTTCAGAACTTCCTCATCCTGATTCAGGTAATTTCTCCATCGAGCCAAGGAAGACCCAACTGGAGCACCCAAGGCCATCCTTGGTTCCCCAAAAGTCTCACTGGCCCGTGGAGACTTTGCAAAAATGCTATCAAATTCTATTTTTCCATGGAGATTATTGTGAAGTTCTCAAGTCATATGACACTGTTTAATACATATAATAAATTTGCATTAAATTGCATTGCAGCAAAAGTCCCCAGGGCCAGGGTAACCCTTAAATTCTGCATCCTTGATCACACTTAATGTGGTTTCCTCTGGTCATCATCAGCTTCCTGGGTCTCTTGCCCGTCACCTTCCATTAGCAGTCCCTTATCAATGAAGATGGCATGGGTTGAGACTTGATCCTTCCAGAAAGCCCGTAGTCCTTTTCTCCCATGCCATGAAATGACTGGAGCCCTGATTAGAGCTTTAAGCCTTCAGAGGTTCATAATTTAAATTGGGACTCTGAAGACCAGAACTTACTAGACTGAAGACCAAATCCCAAAAGTTCCAAACAGGGCAAGAAACAGAGTCAGTGGAGACTGCAGTCACCCAAAGGCTGAGCACTTTTGTGTGGCCAAAGGACACAAGCAGCATCATTTGGATGAAAGGATGAGGGCTGTAGACATGACATGAGGGTCATGTATCACATATGTGGATGGGTTTCACCATATAATTTTTAGAGGTCTGTCTGGTTTTGTTTACTCAAACTATGCCTATTTTAAAGCTTAAAGTTCAGCTTCCATTTCTTTCCTCATAATGAAACAAATCTGGGTCTTTAAGTTTTCAGCAACTTTACCCAACAACAGACAATCATCACCATATAATCTATTTCCCCAAAGTCCATAGCCTTCAGAAGTGCTCAGGCATTTCAGTTGGGTTACATTAGGTTATTTTATTCTCTTCTCTGCTTCAATATCAACAAGTATATTTCCATTTCTAATGCAATATTGCAGCTTCTTCCTTGGAATCGTCAAGTGGTGTCTTAACTTTTTAACAGATTTGTCATGGTTTTCAGCACTATAAAAATATATTCAGTTTTACAATTTCTGCAGTTTCTTTGCAAGCATATGTCCAAATCCCAAAAAGAATCTTACTCAAAAAAAAATTCATATTTATGACGTTTCCACGGTAAGAAAAAGAATATTTTGTTATTTGAAAATATATTATTTAGTTCAATAATCACATACAGCTCTGCTCTCCCTGGAATAATTGGTAAAAATTGACTCTGGAATCCAAATTGTCATTATTCCCAATATTGTCACTGCTCAGTCTATAGAGATTCTATGGTTGTGTTTATTTGCTCCAATATCCCCACAAGCAAAAGCTATTCTTGCCAACCTCTTTTATTCAGTTCCTGCCATATATTGCTGGGATCTTCGGAAAGCTTAGGAAGACTTTTATGTATTTCTCCAATGAGTGTAAGAGAATCCTGAAAGAAGAAGAAAATATGGTGAGAGACTTCCAATTCAGACTATTTGCCATAACTACTGTTAACAAATTATTTATTTATTTATTTATTTAAATTTGATTTATATGCCGCCCTTCTCCGGAGACTCAGGGTGACTTACAATGCATTAAGCAATAGCCTTCATACTTTTGTATATTTTATACAAAGTCAGCTTATTGCCCCCACAAACTGGGTCCTCAATTTACCTACCTTAGAAAGGATGGAAGGCTGAGTCAACCTTGAGCCTGGCAAGATTCGAACTTACTAATTGCAGACAGCTGGAGTTAAATTACAATGCATTAGTCTGCTGAGCTATCCAGCAGATTTGATTTTTGTACCATCTTTGTTACCTGTATAAGTAATTCATGGGGGAGAACATACATATACTCCTTCCTCCTCCTATTTTCCCCACAAAACCAGTCCTGTGAGGTGGGTTGGTCTGAGAGTGATTGGACCGAGTCATCCAGCCGGCTTTCATGCCTAAGGTGGGACGAGAACTTTTAGTCTTCTGATGATTGGCCCAAAATCAACCAATCAGCTTTTGTGGGATTAGAACTCAGAGTCTCCAGTGATTGGCTGAAAGTCACCTAGCTGGCTTTCATGCCTAAGGCAGGACTAGAATTCACCGTCTCCTGATGCTTGGGCCAAGGTCACCAGCCACTTTTCATGTCTAAAATGGGACTAGAACTCACATTCTCCTGGTTTCTGGGCCAGCACCTTAACCACTACACCAAACTGACTAATAACTATTAACTTGTTAACAAATTAGTGGGCAAAAATTTAAAAGTCAGTGATATCACCCTTCTAGTGATATCACTAACATATAGTGATGTATGTCACTGACATACAGTGATACAGAAGAAAAGGGAGGTGGTTTTCATTTACATAGGTATGAATTAGGACATGTCTATCTTGTATTCTGCCTACTATAAAAAAAATGGCATTGGGGAAGCCATTTGCTCCTAACTTCAACCCCCAACCACAAAAATGAAGTGTGTCTCTACAGTAATTCCCCAAATGCGTTAGATTTCAACTCTGAGCTTTGGGGGGTGGGGGTGTTACAAGAACGGAAACTCAACAATCTGGGGGCCTCTAGAAGTTTGGGGTTTCCACAGGGAAATAACAATGCTGAGATATTTTGGATGCTTAAAGACACTACACAGAAGCCAATGCAATTTTAAAATGGCTTAGTTTTATATTTATATAAAAACAGCGGTGTCACAGATTAGAAGACATCAGATTGTAGATGAAGGCAACATACAAATATATTAAATTATGCTAGAAGTTACGCCCAAGTTGGCAAAATCCATTAAACTCTCAGGCATTTATAAATGGATGCGTAAGAGTTTAGCTCCGATTGTTATTAAATGATCATGAACAATGAGATAGAACACAGAACATGGACACAGAGCCTGGCTGGCTGGGGAATTCTGGGAGCTGAAGTTGCCAAGATTGAGAAACACTGGCTTAAGCAACTGGACTCACCCATTACACAAAACTGACTACCAGTCAGAAATGCAATGCAAAATATCTCTGCATATGAATGTAGCAAAATGCTAGTCTTCATTTCATTCAAATACAGGCAGTCCTCAACTTACGACCCCAATTGAGCCCAAAATTTATGATGCTGAGTGAGAAATTTGTTAAGTGAGTTTTGCCCCATTTCACCATAGTTAAGTTGGGAACATGATTGTTAAGTGAATCAGGCTTCCCTGTTGAATTTGTTTGTCAGAAGATTGCAAAAGGGGATCTCATGACCCGGGACACTTCAACTGTCATAATTGTGAGTCAGTTGTTAAGCATCTGAATGTAAATCACGTGACCATGAAGATGCTGCAACAGTCATCAATGTGAAAAATGGTCATAAGTCACTTTTTTCAGTGCTGTTGTAACTTCAAAGGGTCACTAAACGAACTATTATTAGTCGAGGACTACCTGTATTATGGATCTTTGGATTCCAAACTTTAATTCCCAAGGTTAAAAAAAAATCAGATACACAAATTTCATGAACTCTTTTTTTAAGAAAAACATACACAATCTAATCCAATTCTGAATCCTTCTAAAATGTTAGTAGCAATTTGGAGATATGCAGATAGCAATAGCAATAGCATTTAGACTTATATACTGCTTCATAGTGCTTTAAAGCCCTCTCTAAGCAGTTTACAGAGTCAGCCTATTGTTTCCCCAAATCTGGGGACTCATTTTACCAACCTCAGAAGGATGGAAGGCTGAGACAACCTTGAGCCAGTGAGACTCGAACTACCCAACTGTTGGAAGCTGGCAGCCGGCAGTCAGCAGAATTAGCCTGTAATACTGCATTCTAACCACTGCACCACCATGGCTCATGTAGTATGTAATAAGTATAGCATAGCGCAGTGCAGTGCAGCGCAGCGCAGCGCAGCGCAGCACAATACAATACAATACAATACAATACAATACAATACAATACAATACAATGCAGTGCAGTACAGTACAGTACAGTACAGTACAATACATCTACTTTTGGTACATATATTCTGCTTTTTGCTTACTTTGGTGTACATATAGTCTTCCAGTTTCTCTTGAAGCAAAACATTGTCTAATATAGTTTTCTTTCGACGGAGAAATTCAACTTTTGCAAACCCTTCTCTTTTCTTCATGCAAAAGGGGCATTGTGACGGTTGGTGTATTTCGGTTTCTGCTATCTTAAAGGCAAAAGGAGACAAGATTTTTTTAAAAAAAAAGAATAGTTAGGCCCCAAAAACATGTCAAGTTACTTCTGAGTAGTTTCTTTATTGGTGTTTGCCTACAGACAGAATCTTTCCAGACTAAAGCAGCAATCTGCAGAACTATAGATAGATTCTGTGTTTGCCCTTTTCCTGCCTACCAGACATTCCAAGCTCTGCTGCCTCTTTGCCCTCTGGGTGGCAGCCCTCTCTCCTGGGACTCCAGACTACATTCCATCACACTGTCTTCCTTAAAAACAAGAGCATGGCTAACATTTCTGAACAAAAGTGTATGGAAGAAAAAGGCAGCCTTTAAAACCAGATAAGCTTTCTTCCAAAATGAGCTAAATAAAGAAACTAATTATTATTATTTTCCCCAGGAGATAGCCTTCATTTCTCTCTTACAATAGCTTCTCTAGCAGCAATATCATAAATTTACTTAGCCATATCTTTAAGGTTGCCAACTTAGATGCACTTATCAGGAGCAAGCTTCATTAAATGTAATAGGGTTCACTTCTGAATAATCATGTATCAGATTACATTGGAAGATCATCACATTATAGCTACAGTATAGTGTTTAAATTATTTTAGATTGAGAGAAGGGGAGAGGTGCATATTACTCATCTCATTGATTCTATCCTGTCACTATGATCAAGAAGCTATTGTGAAGGAAGAGAAACCACCTTCTAAGGACATTCCATCCAACTAAATGTAAGCATTTCCCCTCGGGTTAATTAGTTAAAGAGCAGGACTTAGAAAATTATGGTGAGACTATTTTTTACTTTCTTTTCAAGGCCAATTGCCCTTTCTCAACCTCGGCTTCCTCATTAGTAGATGTCTTCCTTCTGCAAGTGAAAATGTACATCAAATCTTCATTATAATAACGATAGTTTCAGATGAAACTAACAACAGAAACACGTACAAGATTCTTAACTGCATGTGAGAGAGAACCAGTGGTGAAATCCAAATTTTTTTACTACTGGTTCTGTGGGCGTGGCTTGGTGGGCTTAGTGTGGCTTGGTGGGCGTGGCAGGGGAAGACTATTGCAAAATCTCCATTCCCACCCCACTCCTGGGGGAAGCATATTGGCAAAATCTCCATTCCCACCCCACTCCTGGGGGAAGCATATTGCAAAATCTCCATTCCCACCCACTCCTGGGGGAAGCATATTGCAAAATCTCCATTCCCACCCCACTCTGGGGCCAGCCAGAGGTGGTATTTGCCGGTTATCCGAACTACTCAAAATTTTTGCTGCCAGTTCTCCAGAACCTGTCAGAACCTGCTGGATTTCACCCCTGGTGAGAACCTAACTGTACTATGCAAAATCATGTCACAACGAACAAAAATAACTTGACTGACAGTTTACTTGTTCTACATACACATGAAACATGCATGAACAACAAACGCTCAATTTTTGGTTTGATTTTTGCAATTTTGAAAAGTCACCATCTGAAGAAATCTCGTGCCACACTGAGACTAACCTTCTATTGCAAAATAGCACAGAATCTTGTAGGGAGAAAACAAAATTTCTGTTGTTAACCAAGACTGTTGTTAAGTGAGTCTTGCCTCATTTTATGACCATTCTTGCCACAGTTGTTAAAAGAATCACTGCAGTTAAGTGAACCTGACTTCCTTGTTGACTTTGCTTGTCAGAAGGCTACAAAAGGTGATCATGTGACCCCAGGACATGATAAATACATGCCAGTTGCCAAGATCTGAATTTTGATCACGTGACCATGGGGATGTTGCAATGATCATAAGTGTGAAAAAGTCATAAGTGACCTTTTTTCAGTGCTGTTTTATCTTTGGTCATTAAACGAATGGTTGTAAATTGAGGACTACCTGTAAGTCTGTGAATAACGACAAGTAGCACTTGGCTTTTCCCCACCCTTCCAGTCATCTGAAAAAAAATCATGGTTTCAGCACCTTTTTCATCATCTCCTTCAGACTTTTCAGATGAAGCCTGTTTACTAGCTCAAAAGGGACAGCAGAGCCGCAACCTCCCGTCTGCTGCCTCCGTGAAACCATCCTAGGCCTCTGTTCCTTACAGCTATTTCTTCTCAATGGCTCTAAGATCCTCTGATGATGGAGATGGTTAATTTTGCTGACACAGAAAGACTGCAGAGTCCCCAGTTCTTCTTCAGAAATTCCTGGTAATGCTTTGGGGGTGGGGGGTGGGGACACAGAACAAAATATCAGATACTATCCAGGGATGAAAAACCTTATAGTCTTATTTCCAATTATCAGGAATATCATGGTGGTGGCTGTCACTGTACAGGTAGTTTTCGACTTACGACCACAATTGAGCCCAAGATTTATGCTGATAAGCGAGACATTTGTTCTGAGTTTTGCCCCATTTTATGACTTTTCGTGCCACAGTTGTTAAATGAATCTGGTTTCTCCATTGACTTTGCTTGTCGGAAAGTTGCAAAAGAGGATCACACGGCCTCGGGACACTGCCACCGTCATAAATATGTGTCAGTTGCCAAGCATTTTAATTTTGATCCCATGACCATGGAGACGCAGCAACATTCGTAAGTGTGGAAAAACGGTCATAATTCCCATTTTTCAATGCCGTTGTAATGTTGAACGGCCACTAAATGAACGGTTGTAAATCGAGGATTACCTGTATTGAAACTTACACTAGCATTACTTATTGAATAGTGCATTTGGAGTCAGCAATGTTTACAACATTATAAAATGGGACAAAATAAGGGACAAAATCAGGGACAAAATAAGAAACTCCTTCAACACCATAAAGCAATAACCTCTTTGTCAAAAAGGAAAGTTAGATTTTTGGAAGAATAAAAAGGATTTGATTACAGATAATAATAAAGAGAAAATAGAAAGACGGTAAACCATGTCACAGAAATTATCCATGATGCAGATGTTGGAACAGTCTCAGTCAAAGGCATCCTTTTCCTTTTTACTCAAATGCTTCTTGCTTAAACAACATAGATGAAAAGGGTTTAGAAAATCAGCTTTTTAAATCCCAGGTGCTATGGTCAAGGTAATTCGTTATTAGGGAACAGATTCTACCTGGTCCAAAAATTAGTCTGAATAGAGCAAGGTGGGACCTACCTCCCTTTGCCCCTTCAGATGGCTGATCATCCTACTTTTGAGGACCAGCAAGACTTCCTTCAAATCTTTTCATCAAACTCCTTGGTGGAGGAAGGCCAGAACATAGAGAAGCAATGTGGATATGGAAGAACATGGGAAAGTTTGGACTACTTTGGACCATGTCTCCAGACTCTGGACTACCCAAGCAAGACGTTTTAAAACAGTTTTCTCAATCCATTCTAACGGGGGAATTCTGGGAGTTGAAATCTACACATCTTCAAGAGACTAAGGCTGAGAAGCACTGAGCTGGAGACCAAACAGTAGGTGCTAGTGAACATCTCAGCTTTTCACTTTGAAAGCTCTCAAGGCTTTGTATGTTAACAAAATGGTCAAATTAAAATAAGGGAAATGCTAAAAAAGCAGTATTATGAAACTGGATCTGTATTTCAGCCAAGTAGCCGTAGGAAAGGGGCAGGGCCCAATTAAGGACCCCTGATGCCCTAAGCCCAGCCCAGCAATGATGCCTCTCAGCTCTTCCATTGCTTCACTGACCAGACATTAAGTCCAAGTTCTAAAGAGGAAATAAGTGATTAAAAATTCAGCGTTATTCCAGGCCATTGAGCCCCTGCAGCTATATTAAATGTAAACTTTTTTTTAAAATTATGATTTTAACATCAAATCTCAGTAAGCAATTTAAGCAAATTATTTACTTATAAGTAGGGCAATAGGGAAAAATGCAAATTTTCATCACTTTTTAATGCCTTTTTAAATAAAGGAAAAATGCAAATGCAAAAAATATTGAAAACTAAAGCTGGGAAGTGGCAGTGGAAGAATTCAGGGCATGCTAGATTGGGTGGGGAGACTCTGATATGCCCCCACTTCCTTCAGTGCCCTGAGCATAAGCTTATTTTGCTTACTAGCCACATGGTGTAATGGTTAATATGCTGGCCTAGAAACTGAGAGACTGGGAGTTCTAGTCCCATTTTAGGCATAAAAGCCAGCTAGGTGACTTTGGGTCACTCACCAAGGAGGTAGTGAGTTCTAGTCTTGCCTTAGGCATGAAAACTGCATAAGTGACTTTGGGCCAATCACTAGGAGATACTGAGTTCTAATCCCACCTTTAGCCATGAAAACCATTTGGGTGACTTTGGGCCAATCACCAGGAAACTGGGAATTATAGTCCCACCTTAAGCATGAAAGCCAGCTGGGTGACCTTGGGCCAGTAATTCTCTCTCTCTCAGCCCAACCCACCTTGCGGGATTGTTGTCAGGAAGAAGGAGGAAGGCATTATTAGATATGTTCACTGCCTTGAGTTAAAGTAATAAGGTCAAGATTTTAAAAAATGAATAAATAAATAAATGCAGGGTTGGGGAGGAGGGCCAAATCCATACTAACAGAACACAGCTACTTATTTGAGTGTCTTGAATAGTATTATTCTTGGCTTGAAAATCAGCTGGGTGCCCAAACTTTACAACAACACAAAACGATGTTAACTTCTCTCTAAGGACATCAAATTCCTAACAGAAGAATTGTTTTTAGGCAGCCACTTCTCTCCAGGTATCCATGGCCTGAGAAAACAATTAACAAGCCAGTAAATGACAGCTGAGTAAAAGTGAAGAAAAATGCAAGAAGTTTAATGGACTTCTTTTTCACTGATAATAATTTTAATGTAACCTGCAACTTCCCAACTGAACATTTCAGACATCAAACTGTTCAGCCCAAGAAAGACAAGCCAAAATCTCACATCATCACATGCACTTGGTATCTGAAGCACAGTTTCTCTGCTTTTAAATCAGAGCTCTCCTAAATCCAGGATTATCTGTATGTGAGCATTTAAAACTAGTCTGATGAAAGAATGGCTTTAATGGTTTTGTTTAATATGTAGTGGCTAGAAGTCATCTACAATCAGAAAAGTAGGATGGATGAATGGATGGATGGATGGATGGATGGATAGATAGATAGATAGATAGATAGATAGATAGATAGATAGATAGATTCTCTCTCTCTCCTTTTTTGTGACCTTTTAATCCCTTAATTTTGGGGGGTAGAGTTGGTGCGACAATGGAGCTGAGCATTTACTACCCGGATGCTCTTCCTGACATATATATATATGTCAGGAAGGGCATGACCAAGCCCAACAGACATGACAATCCCCAGACACACCCCCACCCACAAAAAATTCCCCACCCCTAACCCACCGAAGCATCCACACAGCAGACCAAGTAATGCTGTCCAACAGTTCACTGATGGTGGCCCTTTAGTTCATTGTTGAGTGCAATTATAGCTCTGGGATAAAAACTATTCAGAAGACGTGCAGTCCGAGTTTGAATTGTTCTGTATCTTCTGCCAGAAGGCAACAGTCCAAAAAGATTGAAAGCAGGATTGGAAGAGTCTCTGAGAATGTTGTGCAACTTCCTTAAACAGCGAGATGACTGCAGTTTGCAACATATTTTTTTCTTTCCACCCTAGGAGAGAAACACCTGCTGCTACACCTAGGCTTGAACTCTCAACCTTCCAAGTGGGAGGTGAGTGTCTTCACCACTAGGTCAAAAACTATGATTTGTGAAACAAGCCATAACGATCTGGTTTTACTTAGCATCTTATAGCAAGAGTTTTTTTAAATGGGGTCACACAATTTATCAGGATAAAATCTCAATAAGAAAAAGCTGAACAAAAAAAACCCTTTTGTTAATGTAAGTTTGCTATTATTCTTAATAGCATTTACCTGAGGAGGAATACTTCAAAGAAGATAAATTTAGACTTTTTCTTAAGCTTACTGAGTAGGTCTTAATTGTCCTGCAGCTAATCTGCAATTATGCACTTAAACAATTAAGTTGTTCTCCCTACTTCTTTCAAGGAGATAAAGAAAATTGTAAAAGGCTCCCACAGCTGAGGTCTCCAGTAAGGAAGTATTAAATTCAACAGATACATTTTTAGACAGTGGCACATCAAAGCAATTGCTGTATTGTTCTGCCCAGATAGGTACATTTTAAGATGCAACTGGTGTGATTAAGGACACAAGTGATTAAGGCTGGTTGATTTTAATGTAATAATCTCACAGGGATCATGCTACTGATTTAGGAAACCACACTAAAACTTTGTTTTTTAAAAGAGTTCCTTTTACCTAGCTCTTGGAAAACATTTTAGAAATAGAAACCATTTGTAGAAGAATGGATGATGAGAAGGGAATTAATCCTAACCTTAGGAAGGTGCTGTTACAATTCCAATTAATAACCTAGTTATTATATTTTGCATTAATTGCTGAGCTCCCATTCTTGTCATGTCAGGGCTGAATTATCTTTTAGGGCCAATAAACACAGTTGCAGGCTCACCTGCATTCTTACAAAATGATTGCCAGGGTGAAAATATCCAAACCGAGGAACTGTTTTGTGCCCCCTCCATAAACTATCAGGTTGCAGATTCCTTAAGCTTATCTTTGGAGGTTGTTCTGGGCAACTGGACGTCTTCCAAATACAGTTAGCAATTTTTATTTTCTAGTAACACCAATGGTGCTAATGCCAAGCCACTGGCATTCTGTTCAAATACTAGAAAATCTGTGCCTCATTGGGTCATTGTTTCAGAGATACTTCCTTACCTAAAAAAGAGAATGAACGTTGGGCTTACCTTGAACGTTCGTTCTATGTGCACTGCAGGAGAGTCCAAGCATGGGTTAATTTCAGTCTGTTCTGACATCACTGAGTTGGAATTTCTTTGGCCACGCCCTCCTCCTCCAGCCGAGCCTCAGTTTTTTCAATGAATCAGGAAAGATGCAGCTCATTTGAAGAACCAACCACTCCTGGACCCCGGACCAGTACCAGCCAGGGTGGGATTGGACTCTCCTGCAGTGCACATAGTACGAACGTTCAAGGTAAGCCCAACGTTCATTCTCCTATGCACTGCTTGGAGAGTCCAAGCATGGGATATACCCAAGCTAAAATGATGTTGGGCGGGAAGCAGTTTGGTCCAGGGTCCCCTCGGCCAGCAGGACTCTCTGTAAGACCCGTCTCCCAAACGCTGCTTCAGCCGATGCGTACTGATCCAACTTGTAGTTCCTCACGAATGGTGAAGGGGAAGTCCAAGTGGCAGCTCTGCAGATTTCCAGAATCAATGCTTGTGTAGCCCAGGCCGCTGAGGTGGCGGCACTACGAGTAGAGTGCGCCGTGATACGACGTGGCACTGGACGAGCTTGTTGTTCATAGGCTAGAGCAATACAAGCCTTGAGCCAACGCCCAATGGTGGATGGAGACACCTTCCCCATCGAAGTGGGCTGGAATGACACAAACAAGGCCTCCGTTCTCCTAAAGGAGGCAATACGTTTAATGTATCATTTCAAGGCCCTGCATACATCCAATGTATGCCATCGCTTTTCTCTTGGATGTTATGGATTGGGGCAAAAGTCTGGCAAAATCACTTCCTGTGCCCTGTGGAACCATGAATTTATCTTTGGCACAAAGGTAGGGTCCAATCTAAAGATGACTCTGTCCAGGTGAAAGATACATAAATCCTGGCGGACTGATAGTGCCGCTAACTTCGATATCCTGCGTGCAGATGTAATCGCAACCAGGAACACAACTTTAAACGTAAATAGTCTAAGCGTGGTAGTCCGCAACGGTTTGAAAGGAGGCAAGGTGAGCGCTTGTAAAACCAAGGATAGATCCCAGGTCGGGTATCTATGAACAGTCGGTGGTAACAGGTTGGCAGCTCCCTTTAAAAAGCTACGGACCTTGGGATGCTGAGAAAGAGGGATAGGTCCCTCGCCTGGCAAGATGGTAGCCAATGCTGCAACTTGTCGCCGAAACATATTACTTGATAATTTCTTCTTCAGGCTTCACTGCAGGAACTCCAGGACCTGTGGAACTGTGGCGGAAGTCAGTATCAGATGCTCCTTGGCGCACCAACGACTGAATGACGCCCACGTGGCATCGTAAATCCTGGTCATGGACACTTTCCGAGATGCAAGGATAGTAGAAATCACCTCAGGTGAATAGGATCCCTTCCTAAGAATCTCCCGCTCAAGCGCCAAGCGGCCAACTTGAGCCACTGGGGATCCGGATGTTGAAGGGCCCCTTGGTTGAGGGATACCTTGTGCGGTGGTAATATCCAGGTAGGCGTTATCGACAGCAACACCAGGTTTGCAAACCATGGACGTCTCGGCCAATGCGGTGTGACTAACAGCACCTCTGCCTTCTCCTCCAGAATTTTCCGGATCACCCTCTGGAGCAGAGGAATGGGAGGAAAGGCGTAGAGGAGTTCGGGTGGCCATGAACAACGAAGAGCATTGGTGCCCTCAGCTGCTGGAGACCAGTACCGGGTGAAGAACCGAGGCAGGTGAGTGTTCTGAGGTGTGGCAAACAAGTCCATGGTTGGAGTCCCAAATCGGGCTATGATGAGGTGGAATAACTCCGGATGAAGTCGCCATTCAGATTGATCTATTGTCCTCCGGCTCAACCAATCTGCTGTCGAGTTGGATGTCCCGGCAATGTGTTCCGCTCGCAAGGACAGTAGATGCCATTCTGCCCAGAGACACATCTTCTTCGCTTCGCCCATAAGAAGGATGGAGCGGGTGCCCCCTTGGCGGTTGACATGCGCCTTGGCCGTGATGTTGTCTGTTAACAGGAGAATGTGTTGATTCGACAATTCGGACCAAAAATGATGGAGCGCCAGATGGGCCGCCCTCAGCTCCAGCCAATTGATGTCGTTGCAGTGATGACACTGCTGCGACCACTGTCCTTGAGTCACCTGGGTCCCCAGGTGTGCTCCCCAGCCGAATAGACTCGCATCCGATGTCAGGACCAGTCTGGGAGGATCTTGAAACAAGCAGCCTTCTTCAATGGCCTTCGATTTCCACCAATCCAGGGATCGCAGAATCTGTTGAGGAACCCTGATCCTGCCCAGTGAGTTGCTGCGCCCTGACCTCTGATTGGGAAGAAGGAGCCACTGCAAGGGCCTGACGTGTAAGCAAGCCCAGGGAACTATTGCTAGACATGAAATCATTTTCCCTAAGAGCTGGGAAAGCACTAATAGGGGCACCGAAACTGATGTCTGAACCTGTTTCACTAAGTCCTTTATACTTAGTCCCGTTGTTCTTGAGACAGGAACACCTGAGATAACTGGGTGTCTATCACCGCCCCCAGATGAGTAAGTCTGGTGGACGGCATTAGATGGCTTTTCTCCCAGTTGACTGAAAAGCCGTGGTCCTGCAGAGACTGGATCTTGAGTTGAAGATCTAACTCTGCCTGCCTGAGAGACAGTAACTGGATCAGCACATCGTCTAGATAGCACTGTAGGTGGATGGGATGTGCCCTCAGACATGTTGCTACAACGTCCAGTAATTTGGTGAAGGTATGTGGGGCTGAGGATAGGCCAAATCCTCAGTAGTATCGGAGAGCCCAATATTGCTCTGGTGGCCTGCAAATGCAAATCTGAGAAACTTCCTGTGAGATACCCGTATGGGGATATGGAGGTAAGCCTCTTTGAGATCTATCGATGTTAAATAATCTCCTAGTCTGAGGCAACCCAGAATTGAATGAAGGGATTGCATCTTGAATCTCTTGTATTTTATGTGAACATTGAGGTCTTTTAGATTCAATATCGCCCTTTGGCCGCCCGAGCTCTTGGGAACCAGAAAGAGTACGGAATAAAACCCCAAACCCCTTTGTCCAATTGGTACCGGTTCGATGGCCTTGATGTCCAGCAAATGCTGGATCTCGGCCTCCATCATGGCCTTTTTTTGGGCTCCCTGGGTACTGGGCACTGAAGGAATCGATGAGGGGGTCTGGAACAAAATTCTAAGGTCAGTCCAAGAGTTATTGTTTGTAATACCCACACGTCCATGGTGGTATCCCTCCATTGGTCAGCAAACCTCTTTAACCTGCCGCCAATCAGGATTTGTGACCCCGAGTCATTTGGAACGGCAGTAGGGGCGTCCCCCTGAATCCCTGTAAGACCGCCTGGAGTGTGGCCGTCGAGATCTGTCTCAAAACCCTGACCTATCCTGTGCTCTGTCCCCTCCATAGGGGTACTGTCTATGATAGGGGGAGGCAGGGAACCCCACTTCGGTGTTCCGAAAGGGCTGCCTGCCTTGTTTCATGGGAAACAAGAATTGGATAAAATATTATTAGGTAATGACAGGAAAGTTTTATCGAGATGCTATTCTTACCTATTATCATTGAAAGTGGGGAAGTCGTTAAAGACTCCATGATTGCCTGGGGGCGAAATATGGGTTATTCATTGGATTTTCAAAAATGGGAGATTTGGCTTAAAAATTTAAAATTAACTATGGCATCCTCTTATAAAGAGAATATTTATAAGATGGTTTATAGATGGCACCTACCTCCAGCAAGATTAACTAAAATGTTCCCTGGGACATCTTCACAGTGCTGGAAATGTGGGCATAGCAACAGAACCTACTTCCACTAATGGTGGACATGTCCGCTGGCAGCTAAATATTGGATGAAAAAAAGACGATGGTTGCTTGAAATTACACACTGTAGAGTGGAACTGAAACTGGAAACCTTTTTGTTGGGGGTCAGACCCGTAAATATTGGATTGACTAAATGGTATCTGATGCTGCACATAATCACTGCAGGGAGACTGGCATTCACACAAGAATGGAAGAATGAGGATCTACCAACGGACTCAAAAATAATTTATAAAATCATGGAATGTGTGGAGTCCAATAGACTTACAAAACTGATCAAGGGTAAAAGAGACTCAGATTTTTATAGTAGTTGGAACATGTGGTATGATTGGATCCAGAAACGATGGGAGAGAGACAAAGGATAATGTTGGATTATAATTATAGATGATGGTATAATTATGGTAATCAATAAGTATTGGAAATGTAAATTTGTATATAAGAATCTGTAAATATTTTCTATTTTTACTTTCTGATTATTGGTGTGGACATTTTGGTGATGTTACACCGTGATAGAAAAACTATTACATAGTTGTTTGTTTGTTTTTTTATTTGTTTTTTTTAACTATAATAAAAAATAAATTATATATTATAAAAGTTATATATATTATATAAATTATATATTAAAAAAAAGAAGTTCCTCAAGCTCCTTCTCCACAGTATACATCTTTTTGTCCATGCCACTAGGCGCTGGGATAGACAGAGGTTATTTCCATTGCCTATGAATTACATCTACAAAGAATTTTGGGGACGGAATAACTTCCTGAGTGGTAACTGCTCAGTAAAGAGACAGGCACAAAGATCCTGGGGACCTTTGGCATCTGTAGCAGGCCTTTCCGTTTGACCCATATTAGCAGTCATTTTTGCTTTGAGTAATAATGTCTTATAGAGATGGGGGCGGAATAAACCAGTGCAAGTAGGTTTGTCCTGAGCAAGCCCCTCATCCCCAAACATTTCAAATTCACCTAATTCCTTCTCTCCTTCCAGTGAAGCCTCACTGTGAAGTGATGGAGAATCATGGCGTGATCCCTCCCTGTAATCTCTGCGCTATATGAATGTTGATGCATAGGATCTGATCTGGAAGGTTCTGGATTTAGGGGAGCCAACAATCCTCTTTGTGCCAAGGCCTGATCAATAACTTGAGTAATGGTTTGTACAATGGCATAACGTAAGTCTGAGGATAAGGATTGCTGTGTCACCTCTGGGGGCCACAACCCTGCTGCTGTGAGCATAAAAGTTGCTGAAGGCACAGAACATGGCCTGCTAGGCCCTTGAGAAGAATCAGAAGGAGGCTGAGGAGGGTCAGAGACAAATCCTTCCTGAAAGGGGACTACATGGAACCCCTGTGATTCCAAAGGTACAATGGGAGACCAGTTAGGTTGATCCTCCTGCACTTCCTGCAATTGCAATTCTGAAGATAAAGGATTAGAAGGTTCTCCCAGGTCCCTGGAACCCTCAGGGGATTTAGAAGCTGCAGCCTGTTGCTGAGCCTTTGCAAAATGCTTTTCTAAGGCTTTCTGTCTCCTCAGCACATCTTTATCAGTAGCTACAGATGAAGATCTGGAAGATTTGGCTTGGGTGCTAACAGAAGCCTTGCTAGATCTCAATCTGGGCTTTTTTACTACAGGACAATCAGCCTGATATTGAGAGTCCTCAGAATCACTACTATGTGCCATGACTAACCCAGAAAACAGGTTTTAGATAATAGAAGTTGAAAGATTTACTCACTGCGCAGATCAGAGTTCAAATCACGCCCAAACCAGCAAAGTGGTTTGTTAGCCAGTAAGTACAAGTAGCAGCAGCAATGCCCAAGCACTTCAGGTGTAATTAGGGCTTGATCCCAGCAACGTGGCAGCCAAACACTTCAAAACGCTTTATAAACCGGCGAAACGGTTTTTAATTGCGTAGCCACGATTCTCAGCAACAATTAGGACTCCAGAGAAGCTCCCTTGCTCCAAGTATTGCCCAGCTACTCAAAACAATCAATTTCTGCTGCGTAGTGTGCTGCAACAAAATGGCCACCGCCCACAAAATAGCGGCTACTGGCTGAGTGATCAGCGCTTTTTCTACCTGCTTGCTGCTCTCCAGCAGCTAGAAATGGCAGGGAAACGAATCCTGGGAAGCTCTGAATTATCTTATTATTGAAAGGAATTTAATTTAGCCAATTTTCCGAATTTTGAGAAGTTTTAATTTAATCAATTTAAAGGAACCAACTCAAACAAGTCTTTCTAGCAGACTGAGTTGAAAAACTTGAGGCTCAGCCGGAGGAGGAGGGTGTGGCCAAAGAAATTCTAACTCAGTGACGTCAGAACAGACAGAAATTAACCCATGCTTGGACTCTCCAAGCAGTGCACAGGAGAAACAGAATGATCACAGATAGGCAAAAAAAAAAAAAAAAACCCTCAGAGGGAAGCAACTTCCAGCTTATATAATATTGAAACCAATTTTGGTCATCATACTACAAAAAAGATGTTAAGACTTTGGAAAAAGTTCAGAGAAGAGCAACTAAGATGATGAAAGGCCTGGAGACTAAACCATATGAAGAACAGCTGCACGTTTTGGGTATGGCTAGTCTAAAGAAAAGAAGAATTATGGGTGGCATGATAGCGGTATTCCATATTTGAGGGGCTGCCACAAAGAAGAGGGAGTCAAATAATTCTCCAAAGCACCAGAGGGCAGGATAAGAAATAATGGTTGGAAACTAATCAAAGAGAGAAGCAACCTGGAATTGAGGAGAAACAGTGAGGACAATTAACCAGTGGAACATATTACCTTCAGAAATTGTGGGTGCTCCATCACTGGAGGTTTTTAAGAAGAGACTAGACCCGTGAGGGTGAACCTATGGCACGTGTGCAACAGGTGGCACACGGAGCCGTATCTGTGGGCACACAAGTCACTGCCCTAGCTCAGCTCCAGTGCGCATGCATGAGCTGGGCAGCTGATTTACGGCTGGCCCAGCCCATGCCACCCCTCCCCTTCCAGGAGTCTCCATGCGGCCTGTTTTGGATACCAGGTAAGTATAGGGCTCACACAGAGGCTCTGGGAGGGCATTTTTGGCCTTCGGAGGGCCTTTGGGGGGGTGGAGGAAGCAGTTTTCACCCTCCCCAGGCTCCAAGAAAGCCTCTGGAGCCTAGGGAGGGCAAAAAATGGGCCTACCGCACCCACTGATAACCTTTGTCACATGCCAAAAGCGGGAGGAGCACAGGGGGGTCATGTGCACATGTGTGAGAGGGCGGGGCACAGGGGAACATTGAATTATGGGTGTGGGCACTCTTACGTGCGACCCCCCCCCTGCACTCCCCCTGCTTTTGGCACATGATGGCAAAAAGATTAGCTATCACTGGACTAGACAGTCACTTGTCTCAAATGGTATAGATTCTCCTGCTTGATCAGGGGGCTGGACTAGAAGACCTCCAATGTCCCTTCCAGCTCTATTCTATTCTAAATGCATTTAGCTTTGATAGGATTACCATATCTATGTGTTTTAAAAAAACCTGAAAAATGGGAGAATGCCCCAAATTCTCACATTATAGTATCACCACTCTGTGTGTAATGGCACTCAATAGGTATCGCCATTACCATGAGTAAGACTAAGAAGTTTCAAACCTGAAAATTGACTTACCAGTATCTGGTTCTATGGAAGGTTTTGCTCTCTCAGTGATACTTCTTCTGTTGACTTTCAGAAGATTAATCCTTTTTCTAGTTAAAGACTCTCCTACAAATGCAGAATCTAACAATTCTAACAGGGAGGGAGGGAGGAAATAACATAGAGATCAACCAAATGACAAATGGGTTCATACATGTGAAACTCATGCATGATGTATAATCTAAAATCCTCAGACATCCATAAAAGATGTGTGAAGCTGTTTAATTTACAAGCATGGGCTAGCACTGTTAAAAAACATAAAGTCCTCCTTATGTTCAGGTGCAGTTCTTGGTAACCTTAACCTTCAAAGATTTTTTTTGCTCTGTTCTCATATTATGCTAATACAAAACGCTGCTTTTTTAACTGTGGCCTAGCATTCTAGTAGGAATAGTTAGGCAGTACAAGATAAACTAAAGGTAGAAATATGTAGAAACAAAATTGTGTAAAACCTTCCGGTTTTTCTTAGTCAAGTAATTATTAAAGTGCTATGATGGGAGTCTGCAGTTGAAGGAGAAGAGTGGGGAATGTCAACAGTAGCCCCACAGTCTCCCAGGGAGGAGGCAGCACATTCCAGAATAAGGCCCAAGTCAAAAACGGACGTTGACTTACCTGAACGTCCATTTTCGGAGCGCTGCGAATACACTCCATAGCTGGTTTAACTCTCTTCTCTGACAGCAACTGAGAGAATATTTCTTTAAATTTAGGTCACTCTGTGCTCTAATCCCCTCTGCCCTTCATTCCCCAGTCTTGAACGAAGGTGCGACACAGGACTCAAACAAACCAAATTTTATTTAAACAGGAAACCAACGATAAACCAACCAACGGAGCAGGAAGCCCCAACAAACAAAGGGTGGGAAATGGAGTGTATTCGCAGCGCTCCGAAAATGGACGTTCAGGTAAGTCAACGTCCGTTTTCCAGAGCGCTGCTCTTACACTCCATAGCTGGGACATACCCAAGCCTAGTCCACAGGGTCGGGCGGCTGAATACTCCGCTCAGAAGACCCTGAAACCACACTTTGCAACACTCAGTGACCAAAGGCCGCTTCGGCCAAAGCATAAACATCAATCCTATAGTGTCTTATGAAGGGCGACAATGAAGTCCAAGTGGCTGCCCTGCAAATGTCCAACACTGAAGCTGCCGCCGATGTAGCCGCACTCCGAGTGGAATGGGGTAAAATCCTGGACGGCACTGGGCGAGCCTGGCGTTTGTAGGCGGATGCTATACAGGCCTTAATCCAATGTCCTACCGTTGAAGAAGACACCTTTTGTCCCAATGAAGCTGGGTGAAAGGAGACCAGGAGGGCCTCCGTCTTGCAAAAGGACGCAGTCCGACGAATATAACGACGCAGAGCCCTGCGTACATCTAGAGTATGCCAGAGGACCTCTCGCTGGTGCCTAGGTTCCAGACAAAAGTCTGGTAACACGATCTCTTGGGACCGATGGAACCATGAGTTTATTTTGGGCGTGAACGACGGGTCCAGCCGGAGCACAACTGTATTAGCTTTAAATACACACAAGTCTTTCCTGACGGAAAGTGCTGCAAGTTCGGAAATCCTCCGGGCCGACGTAATCGCCAACAGAAAGGCAAACTTAAATGAAAGAAACTTAAGAGAAACTGCCCCAAGTGGTTCGAACGGGGAAACCGTAAGGGCCTGCAGTACTAGGCGCAAGTCCCACGATGGGTAATGATGAACCGTGGGAGGAAAAAGATTTGAGGCGCCATGCAGAAAATCTTTCACCCACGGATGCTGAGACAAGGAAGAATAAGGCGGACAGGAAATCACCATGGAAAGGGCCACCACTTGCCAACGCAGGGTGGC